GCAGAAAGTACATAAATTAGAAAAAATTCTACAATAAAAATAAGTTAGTTGAAATATTATTTTATATTTTAGTAGTAAAAGACATTTTTAGTCAGACAAATATTCTAAAATCTTTTTATTTATAAACAAGTAGTGAAGAACAATTTTTAGTCTATCAAATGTATTTAATCTTATCACTTTCCAATCAGTAGTAAAATTAATTTGGAGTTTGACAATTCTTTTACATTTATTGCAAATTGGATTAGTATTTCAGTTGTAAAATTTATGTTCTGACAGGCGAAAAGATTTGAGTTTGCGTTTTAGTTACGAATGTTTATTTTTTTCTTAAAAAAGAGCAATACAAGAACAAAATATAGAGAAAAAATACAAATTAAGTTTCAGTAAAAAAAATAAATTTTTTATCAGGCTATTTTATTAATCTTATTTACTTAAAAATAAGTAGTATAGAAAATTTTTAGTCAGACAAGTGTGCAATTGAATAGAATTAGAATATCTCAAAACTTCAGAATCAGTAGTACAAGTAATTTATAGTCAGACTATTCTACTAATAATAAACTTACAAAAATTTAATCGTACTGTCTGACTAAAACTGTGTTGTACTTCTTAATTTCAAATCTTAAAATTAATGTCGATTTAGATTTGAATTTCTGTAGTAAAATTTATTTTCAGTCAGACAAAATACATTCATTTTGTATTTATTGTTAAGAATGTTTATTTTCTTGTTAGGGAAGAATAGTTAGAAAAATTAGTTAAGTAAAAAAGAAATATTTTCTATTTTTTATTTTTTATTTTATTTTCTATTTTTAATTTGTCTGACTAAAAATAAATTTTACTACTGAAATGTAAATACAAATTGCAAAAAATGTAAAAGGATTGTCTGACTAAAAATTACTTGCACTCATGATTTAAACGTAAAGAGCACGTATTATATTCTATTATATTAAATAATACATGTCTGACCAAAATTGCTCTTTACTACTTATTTAAAAAAAAAACAATCGCCTCCGTTAAAGAGGAATTTGTATTATTTTTTTTCATTCTAAAATAAATTTGTAGTAAAACAATAAGATTATGAAGAATTAACTGTGGGATTATTTCAGAGGTATTATTCAAGTGACTTATATAGGTTACAGCAGACTTCATCAAATTATAAACAATAAGTGGTGTACGCTCGCTCCACCGGGAAATGATTCACTTTTTGTCTACCCAACAGGATTAAAACTTCACCTCTGTTTCATGGCCTTCATGCATGATCTAAGTAGCTCAACTATCTTCCCTTTTGCGTAAAGCTTTTTGGATTAGCATGGTTTTTGACTTTCTACACTTTTGACGCAAGCTTTAGTCGTTTAAAATTCAAAACGGATTTTCGTTGCACATATTCAGTATAAGTGAGCTTTCAACCTCTCTAGTGAAAAATTTTTACCCAATCTCTGAAACGCCGCGTTTTTTCAAAATTAAAATGAAAATTAATATTTATTAATAATTTAATATATTTAGTAGTTGGTTATTATTAATTTTTTTTATTGTTCATTTACTCTCTAAATTTAAATTAGTAACAATGTTTAGTAATTCAGATTAATGAATTACTTTTTGCTTTTAAATTAGTAAATTTTACTAATAAATAGTAATTTTTACTAATTTACTATTAATTAAATTAATTTACTATTAGTTATTTACTATTAATTTAAAATTAGTAAATTTTACTATTAAATAGTAATTTCTACTAGCTTACTAGTAAAATTTACTAATAAAAAAATTGATAACAATTTTTACTAATTACTAGTAAAATCTACTACTTTAAAATTAGTAAACTTTACTATTAAAAAATAATTTTTACTAATTTACTAGTAAAATTTACTACTTCAAAATTACTAAACTTGACTATTAAATAGTAATTTCTACTAAAATACTAATGAAATATACTAATTCAAAAGCAAAAATCAGTCACTAATTCAAATTAGTAAACACTTTTACTAATTCAAATTAAGAAAGTAATAAATTTTTTAGAAGCATGAATTAAGAAAAAGTATGAAAACTATGACGCTAAAAATTATTTCATTATTTATTTAACTTTTAATAATTCTTAATTTATTTCATAAATATAAATATGAATTAAAATTTCCTTCGAAGAAAGATTTAAAACATTTCTGAGAAAACGCTTTCCAAATAAATTTTCTCGTTTTTTCGACATTCTTTTCAAAAAGTAAAGTAGATCGCAGAATTTATGAATTTGAATTTTGTTGTATCCACTTTAAAATATTGTTTTCCCATGATTCATTTTCATTTTCTCTGCAAGCACTTTTTTTGCGCTTACTTACTTTTTTTAAAAGTATAATTTCACACAAAGCTCAATTGAAAACAGCTGCACGAATATGTATGTCAATGCTCAAGTCAATGCTATTGCAACATCGATCAGAGCGACCTCATTGTGTCTTTAATCGTCTTTTATATCCGAAATGGTTTCCATGCTCCCTTTTTGAAATTTAGCACTCCGTCCCTTTGGTGCTGCCACTATATTACTTTATTGCACATACATTCATATTTATCTTACAGAAACTTGATATGTTATCAATGTCCGAGATAAAAATATTTAAATAGTAATTCGATTCAATTCAATAATTATTAAAAGATGAGAAAATTGAAAAAATAAGTTGTAAAGAAATATTTCGTCAAATTAATTTTACTACTTATTAAGAAATAAATAGAGTTTCAGCAAATTAGTCTGACTAAAAATATTTTCTACTACTGAAAACTATATTTTTTTTAATTAATTTATTTTTCGAACAATTTTTCTCTAACAAGAAAATGAACATTCTTAACAATAAATACAAAATTAATGTAATTTGTCTGACTAAAAATAAATTTTACTACTGGAATTCAAATATAAATAGAAAATTATTTTAAGATTTAAAATTAAGTAGTACAACACAGTTTTAGTCAGACAGTACGATTGAATTTTTGTAAGTTTATTATTAACAGAATAGTCTGACTACATATTACTTGTACTACTGATTCTGAAGTTTTGAGATATTCTAATTCTACTCAATTGCACACTTGTCTGACTAAAAATTTTCTATACTACTTATTTTTAAGTAAATAAGATTAACAAAATAGCCTGATAAAAAATTTATTTTTTTTACTGAAACTTAATTTGTATTTTTTCTCTATATTTTGTTCTTGTATTGTTCTTTTTTAAGAAGAAAATGAACATTCGTAACTAAAACGCAAACTCAAATCTTTTCGCCTGTCAGAACATAAATTTTACAACTGAAATACTAATCCAATTTGCAATAAATGTAAAAGAATTGTCAAACTGAAAATTAATTTTACTACTGATTGGAAAGTGATAAGATTAAGTACATTTGATAGACTAAAAATAGTTCTTCACTACTTGTTTATAAATAAAAAGATTTTAGAATATTTGTCTGACTGAAAATGTCTTTTACTACTAAAATATAAAATAATATTTCAACTAACTTATTTTTATTGTAGAATTTTTTCTAATTTATGTACATTCTGCTAGTAACAATAAAGTGACAATAATTAGAATAACAAACAGAATAATTAATTATTAATGTAAAATGTCTAACTCGATATTAATTTTAATACTAACTCGAAAGTTATGAGATTAAATACATGTGTCCAATTACAATTGTTCCTTACTACTTACCTAGAAATTAATAAGATTGAAGAAAATTTGTCGGACTAAAAATATATTTTACTACTGAATTTAGATTTTAGCAAATTTGTCTGACTAAAAATATATTCTACTAGCGACTGACTTCAAATTAATTTTTCTACTGCAATAAAAAAAATGTCAATAAATATAAAACAAATGTCTGACTATAAATTACTTGTACTACTGATTCGAAAATTACGAGATTAAATACTTTGTCTTACCAAAACTGTACTTTACTACTGTTTTATAATCAAATAAAAGATTATAGCAAATTTGTCTGACTAAAAATAATTTCTACTAATGAAACAAATCGTAACTACTTGTTTATAAATAAAAAGATTTTAGAATATTTGTCTGACTAAAAATATCTTCTACTACTGACTGACTTCAATTTAATTTTTTTATTGCAATATAAAGAAAAATGTCAATAAATGTAAAAAAAAATTGTCTGATTATAAATTACTTGTACTACTGATTCAAAAATTACGAGATTAACTTTTTCAGTCAAATTGTCATTTAATTCTTAATTAATTTTAATTTTTATGAGACTGAATAGTAAGTAGTAATAATAAATAGAAATATTTACAAATTTGCCTGACTAAAAAATTGTTTTACTACTTATTTTACTTCATAAGTAGCAAAAACAGTAGTAAACGATATTTTTAGTCAGACAACTTTGGTAAAATTTTATTTACTTCAAAATAAGTTGTAACGAACAATTTTTGCCAGACATAGGTATTATTTGAGAAAAAAGAATATCTCATTACTTTCAAATCAGTAGAACGAGTAATTTATAGTCAGACAATTCTTCTATATTTACAAAAATTTGTATTTGTTACTAAGTAGTAAATTTTACGTTTAGTCAGTCGAAAGGCTTTCAACTAAAAAAAAAAATAAATAAAAATACGATATAGTTTTCAGTAGTAGAAAATATTTTTAGTCAGACAAATTGTCTAAAATGCTGTTTATTTAGAAATAAGTAGTCAAGAATAACTTTGATCATACAAGTGTGTTTAATCTCGTAATTATCGAATCAGTAGTACAGGTAATTTATAGTCAGACAATTATTTCATTATCATAATAAATTTATTTATTTCTTTATTTATTGCAATTTCTATTCGTAAAGAAAATCGATTTTTTTCAAAAGTGGGTCCCTTTTAGAAGAATCACCGATATACATTTCCACTCGATAAAAGTTGTAGAATTTAAAAATATTTCCCTTTTAAATATTCACAGTCCTTGACAAATAAAAAAAAATATATAAAATATTCCTCGAATAAGATTTGTAAGAAGGACGCAAAAATGTATAAAAGCTTTGTTAGTTTATAGGGAAAAATGTACGTCCGCAGAAAAAGTACAGTGCAACAAAAGAAGTGAAGCGATTGAATGGACCTAGAATATTATCTGCGAAATATAATGTTTGCCGTATTGGAAATGGAAGTAGTTTGTAAAACGTTTGAATGCTGATATGTATATATTTTAGTTCAAGGTCCACGAGAGACGACTGTCGACCTCTGCTTCACGAACAATGGCAGCGATGAGTCTCGGTTTCATCGTCATGGTCACCCCATGGACCATCCAGGAAGTTGTGGTCGCATGTACCGGAAGTAAGCCACCACCGTTCCTCGAATTTCTAGCAACGTGGCTTGCTCTCTCCAACAGCTTTTGGAATCCTTTTCTTTATTGGTTACTCAACAATCACTTTCGACGAATTTCGAAGGAAATTTTCTACACGAAGGTAGGTGATTTATTTAAAAAAAAATATGGAAACAAATTTACTAGCAAATGTTATTATATAGCGAAATGTGTTATTCAGTTTGTTATCATTATAAAAATTATAAATTTTTTTTATTATTAATTATAAATTACAAGATTTGAATAACTTTAGATTCAAAATTTCAAAAATTAACTTATTAAGTACATTATCAATTATTATTGTTTGTTATTTTCAAAAAATGTAATAACATTCGTCGCAAGAATTGAATTTTTTCCATTATACTTATAAAATTCTTCAGAGAAATTCAATTATTTTCGTTACAATTTTAATAAAATTTTTCTATAATGAATGTAATTATTTTGAAAAGTTAATTTTTGTAAATAATTTGAAAAATTAAACATAATTTTCTAATCTTTAAACGAATTAAATTATTTTCAATAAAATTTTTATTAAATTCTTTAAATCGATTTAATATTACTTTTGTAAGTAAAAAATAAATTTTCCTAAAAAATTAAATTATTTTCAATACAATTTTAAAAAAATTTCTCTAAAGAATTCAATTATTTTGAAAAGTCCTCAAACAACATAATTTTCAAATAATTAAATTAAATAATTAAAAATAATTCTTCAATTATTTCCAATGCAATTCTAATCGAAAATTCCAAAAGAATTCAATTATTTTTTTAAATTTTAATAAAATGTTTTGAAAGAATTCAATTATTACAAAAAATTTTGATAAAATTTTGTACATGAATTCAATTACTTTCAATACAATTTTAATAAAATTTATCGAATCGATTCAATTACTTGTGTAATAAATGAAATTTGTCACAGAAATTCAATTATTTTCGATACACTTTCAATAAAATTTAATAATCAAATTTTTAAATAAAATTATTATTAACAGACACGATTATTTTTGAAAGTTGCAAAAAATTTTTTCTTAATTCAATTATTTTTAAAATTTTCAATTAAAAAAATTTTTAAAAAAACTACACTATTTTCAAAACGACTAAAAAATTCTATAAAGAAGTTTAATTATTTACAAAAACGAATAAAATTGTCCAAAAGAATTTGATTTTCTTTATAAATAATTTTAATAAAATTTAATAGTAAAATTATTAATTGCAATTATTAACAAAATCGGTTATCTTAAAAAAATTAAAGAAATCTTTTTTGAAAGAATTCCAAAAATTGTATTGTTTTTATAAAACAAATTTAATTATTGCGAAGAATTTTAATTAAATTTTTAGAAAATAATTCAATTCTTTTGAAGAATAAATACTATAAAAGTTTATTACAATAAATGAATTAGTTCAAAAAATTTCTTTACTTTTTTTAATATCATCCATTTCGTAAACAATTGTAATGAATAATTTTACTAATAAATTTTTTTTATAAATTGTTAATAAAAAAATTTAATTTATTTGACCAATTATATCAAAGTTTCTGTAAATAATTAAACAATTTTATAGAATTTCTTAAAGTTTTTTGAAAATAATGTAGTTTTTTTTAATAATTTTAATTGAAAATTTAGAAAATAATTGAATCTCTGCAGAAAAATTGTATTACTTATAAAAGTAATTGAATCGTTTTGAAGAACTTAATTAAAATTTTATTAAAAATAATATGTAAGATGTAGACTATCGATCACTCCGAGTCAAATTAGAAATAAAATATAGATGGTTTTTACGTTTCGACAGCGCAGCTGTCCTCTTCAGAACGCAATTACTCAATAAAAATATTTAACATAATTTAAAAAAAAAAAAAAAAAAAAAAAAAAAAAAAATATATATATATATAAGGACAGTTCCATGAGGAACGTCTTCGTCGTAGTGATAACAATTTGACACTTTATTAATTTGACCAAGTGATAAAATCAAGAATTCTATTTTATTAAAAATAATTAAAATCATTTAATGAATTTTATAAAAATTTTTGAAAATAATTTAATTGTTTCAAGAATTTTTATTAAAATTGTTAAAAATAATTTAAATTCTATTAAAAAATTTTATGGAAATTGTATTAAAAATAATTAAATTTCTGCAAAAAATTGTATTACTTACAAGAGTAATTGAATCGTTTCGAAGAATTTAATTAAAATTTTGTTAAAAATAATTGAAATCATTTAATGCATTTTATAAAAAATTTTGAAAATAATTTAATTTTTGTGAAAAATTGTATCAATTACAAAAGAAATGGAATTTTTTCGAGGAATTTAATTGAAATGGTATTGAAAATAATGGAAGTCATTTAAAGAATTTTTTCAAAATTTTTGAAAATAATTGAATTCCTGTGGAAAGTTTTTTTACTTACAAAAGTAATTAAATTTTTTCGAGGAATTGAATTGAAATTGTATTGAAAATAATTGAATTCCTGTAAAAAGTTTTAATACTTACAAAAGAAATGGAATTTTTTGGAGGAATTTAATTAAAATTGTTTTAAAAATAATTGAATTCATATAAAGAATTTTATAAAAATTTCAAAGCTTTTCTAAGGATATAAAATTTCGCCATAAAAACGAATTGAATTCTTTCGAAGAAATTGATTAAAATTGTTAAAAAATAATTCAATTCCGTTTGAGAAATTTTATATAAATCTCCATTTTGAAAGTAATTGTAGAATTCAATTAGAAAATTATGTTGATTTACGACTTTTAAAAATAATTCCATTCTTTAGAAAAATCTTGATATCCTCAGAAAAACTTTGCTAGTTTTATTATTTTCTCTATTTCAATTTTCTTTTTTTTTAATTGTATATTTTATTAGACATGAAAGTCCACATTTTTTTATTAGCATGGATTTTCACTTTTGTGCGAGAAATGAAAAATAATTTTCCTAAACTCATAATCTTCGTGGTGAAATCAATTTCTCTCTGTGAGGCTTTTTCAATATTACATTAGAATTTGATGATTTCCAAAGAGTCTCTCTCTTCCTTTATTCCTTTATTATTTCTATTTAATTTCGCCTCCTGATGTATAGAGTTCTTCTTGACTTTCTCGATCCTCTTATAGCCGTCGATGAAAGGAGAGTGTTGAAAAAAAAAAAAAATATCGAGTGTAACCACTGCGCCTTACAGCCATGGTGACGACGAGCTATGGGCAAAATCTCGTTTTAGCCTTGTAACGATGTTCTCACACAAAAAGAGTGCATTAGTCTATATGAAATCCTTTCTAAAAATCCTCTCAACATCATCTTTAAAATTGCTCTTTTTTTTCGTCTAAAAAGTTTTTAAAGACCTTTTACCCCCCATCGAGACCTAATAATAAGAGCGAACCTTTCAATATATATGACTAGAATTTTTATCGGAAAAAAAACTTTTCCTTTATAAAGAGTTCATTTCTTTTAAAAAAATATATATTTTTTTTACTATTATATTTGTGTTTCGAATTTTCTTTACGAATCAGACTTTATAACGTTTCAACTATACACTCTTTATTTGGAAAGATTTTTACGAGAGGATAAAAGAAGAAAAGAAGTGAGCACTGTTAAAGGATTTAATCTTTTAGTTGGGTACTCAGGAGATGTTCTTTTTTCTTTGAAAATTACTTCAATTTCCAAAGGATTCTTGAAAGATTCTTTGCGAATTCTTGAGAAAAAAAAAAAGAAATTTAAAAATTTCTTTTAAAATACTTTTTCTCACTTTCATTTTTTATCTTGTTTTCAGATTTTATGCAGATCAAAACCTCTTGGGCCAAAACAACATTGCTGTGCTACCAGTACAGGTGGTTTGGATGTCTGCAGTATTGGCGGTCTTGATTTATCAGGTGAAAAAATGCACAATAAATATAAATATTTTCCTTTATTAAAAGGAATTTTTCAATATGAAATATTTTTTATGTATCAAAAATATTTTTCAAAATATTTTTCGTTTATTTTTTTATAAAGAGATGAAGTTCTTTCTAAAAGGTCTTTTATCGTTTTAAAAATATTTTCACATATGAAAATATTTTTGATACAATTTATTGAACATTCTAACCTATTTATTTAGGCCTTTTATTATAAACAAGAATTTAAAAAAGTTGTTTTAACAAAAATGGGCTTCGCACTCATTTACTAAAACCTATTATTTACTCCTTTTTTTATGTTTTGATACTATTTGGGTACTTTTTAGATTTCAGTCACTAAAAGCTACTGATTTTTTTTTTTTAATTTTCACTACTTTAAATTCCCTAATACTAGAAATCAAAAGACTATTCTCAAAAATTATAATCAAATTCTTTAAAACAATTCAATTATTTTCAAAAAATATTCAAAATAATTAAATTATTCCCAATATCCAGTATTTTCATAAAATTTCGCAAAAGAAATCAATTATTTAAAAAAAAAGTTGATAAGATTCAGCCAAAATTCAATTATTTTCATAAATCATAAAATTTTCACAGGAATTCAATTAATTCACAATAGTAATTAATTAGCAATTAATTCACAATAATTCAATTTCTTTCACTAATAATAACATTTTTCATGGAAATTCAATTTTTTAAAAAATGTTGGATTAAATTAAAAGCAAGAATTCAATTATTTTCATAAGTAATAAATCTCATCGAAGAATTTCAATTATTTTTAATACTACATATATTTTTAATCAATTAATCAAAAATTCAATTAATATATTTGCAAACAAAATTTTTCCACAAGAATTCAATTATTTTAATAAAATTTTCATAATATTTACTATATTTCGAAAAAATTAATTATTTAAAACAATGTTTATAAAATTCTTATGAAAAATTCAATTCTTTTTAAACATTTCAACAAAATTTTTCACAGAAATTCAATTCTTTTTAAACATTTCAATAAAATTTTTCGCAATAATTCAATTCTTTTCATAAAAAATAAAATTCATCTCAGGAATTCAATTATTTTTGAAAATTCTTTGCAATTGTACCAATAAATCAAAAAATTTAATTATTATACCAAATAAAGTTTTCCACAATAATTCAATTATTTAAAATAAAATTTTCATAATATTTACTATATTTCGAAAAAACTAATTATTTAAAACAATGTTTATAAAATTCTTATGAAAAATTCAATTATTTTCAAAAATAACAAAATTTTTCACAGAAATTCGATTTTTTTTAAACATTCTAATAACATTTTTCGCAATAATTCAGTTATTTACAAAAATATTAGAATTTTTCACAGGAATTCAATTATTTTCAAATATTTTAATAAAATTAGTAGAAAGAAATCAATTAATTTGAAATACAATTGTAATTAAATTTTTTTTTAATAATTCAAATATTCTTTTAGATTTTAATAAAATTCTTTCCAAGAATTCAATTATTTACATAAATAATTCTTCAAAAGAATTCAATTATGTCGATGAATAACAAAATTATTCCTGAAAATTTAATTATTTTGAGGCATTTTAATAAAATTCTTTTCAAAATTCAATTAATTCCATAAATAACAATTAATTCAATTATTATTATAACAGTAATAAATTTCTTCTTGGATATTCAATTATTTAAAAAAATTCTAATAAAATTGTTCGCAAGAATTTAATTATTTTCATAAATAATAAAATGCTTTTTTAGGAATTCAATTATTTTCAAATAGTTTTAAAAAATTGTTCGAAAAAATCAATTATTTTAAATACATTTTAATTACATTTTTTTAAATAATTTAATTATTCTTTTAGATTTTAATAAAATTCTTCCCAAGAATTCAATTATTTACTTTAATAATTCTTCGAAAGAATTCAATTATGTCTAAAAAAACAAAATTATTTCTAAAAATTTAATTATTTTGAGGCATTTTAATAAAATTCTTTTCAAAATTCAATTATTTTCATAAATAACAATGTACATCACAAGAATTCAATTATTATTATAACAGTAATAAATTTCTTCTTGGATATTAAATTACTTAAAAAAATTATAATAAAATCGTTCGCAAGAATTCAATTATTTTGATAAATAATAAAATCCTTTTTAGGAATTCAATTATTTTCAAAAAAAATTTAATAAAATACCACAGAGACATTCAATTATTGTCAAAAATTTTAATAGAACTCTTTTTAAAATTTAATTATTTTTAAAAAATTTTAGCAAATTAAATGATTTTCAATATCTACTATTTTCATAAAATTTCCAAACAGAAGTCAATTATTTAAAAATTTTTTTTGTGAAAATCTTCGTGAGAATTCAATTTTTTTCATGAATATAAAAAATTTCTCAGCTTTTTAAATGATTTAAATTAGAATTTGCATAAAATTAGTCGAAATTAATATTTCGACTAAATATTATTTTTAAATAATTACAATTTTAGCAAATTTGTCCGACTAAAAATATCTTTTTACTACTGAAAACTATATCAGAAGAATATAAGGAAAAAGTGAAATGCTCCAATACTGAAAATGACTTTTACTACTTATATCAATGTTACAGGAGATTAAATTTATTTGTCTGACCAAAATGCTCTTTTACTACTTATTTCTAATCACAAGAGTTTTTAATTCTTTAGTCTGATTAAAGCGGACTTTTACTACTTATTATGAGATTAAAAAAAAAATTTAACAGCTTTGTCTGACATAAAATCGTTTTTTCCGCTTATAAAAGAAAATCGTTAAAACCAAAAAAGTTCTTTTGTTAATAAACTTTCAGGTTTATGAATTATATTTTATTTAAATCTGCCAAAAGTTATTTAAATTTTTCATAAATTTAGTCTTTTCATAATTTCGTTAAATTTATTTACATTTACTGAGTTATTTAAATTTTTTGTTAAATTTATTTTGAATTTTGAAAAGTATGACAAGATTGAAATTTATTTTTTCTTACTGTTGACATTTACTGAAGAATTTGAAATGTCTGACTATAACTTAATTATACCACTTAGAGTGGAATTTGACGAGTATTCAAACTCACATTTCTCGCATATAATTCATTATGAAAAATATTTACATTTATACTATTAATATATAGAAATATTAACAGTGTAAATATTTTTTATAGGAATAAAAATTTAATTTCTCCCATCAAACGGTATGTAGTTAATAAACCTCTATCGATTACTATTGTTATTTCTTTAACACTAGCGTGACTTTTGAATTTTTTTTTCTTCCCTGATTTATTAATTGCTTGAATTTGAAAGCTTTGTTTCGTTAATAGCTTTATAAAATGAAATGATTTGTGGGCCACAGTGGATTCGAATATGAATGCATATATATGAAAAGGAGATGACGATTTACTAGAATATTCACGCGCCGCTTAATGACACTGATTATTAGTGTTCATTGTAAATCGTTAGTTATGAACGGTACACTAGAGAAACGTTTAACGATCAATAATGCAAACCAACGAAAAGCTAGTACCTATTGCTCGTTAGTACCAAAGTCTGATCACGTGAAAACACAATTTTGTTTTAATGAACCACCCTCACTCTTAGTAACCTTCTTCTTCTTCATTTTCCTTTCTTCTTTCCCTTCTTTTTCTTTTTCAAAAATTTTCCATTTTTTTTTGCCGTAATTGATAATTTTCGATTTTAAAACGAAATCTAAAAAAAACCTTTAATCTAATCTTTAATTTTTTTAATCTTCAATATAATAACTTTGTTATTATAGTTTTTCTGATGATATCGAATTGAGACAAAAAACGAATCAAAAGTGTTGCGAAGCAACATTTCTCAATTTGATACCTGCAGAAAAACTGTGATTATATTAAATATATGTTAATGTTTTAATGTTGTTTTTTTCAATTTTCAATATTTTCTTTTTGAAGACTTCACACTCGATAATTAATTTTAAAAAAGTAGCAAAAACCAGCTTTTAAACAAATTTCCCCTATTTTCATCAAATTTTTGTGGGTTATTTTCATTTTTTTTAATGTCAAAAAAAAAACGAAAAAAAACTCGTTTTATTCACTTCACAAAATTGACAAAAATTCCATTCCATATTTTTTATTTTCCTGACTTTTTCCTAATTTTCATCAAAAATATTTACTTTTTTCTCATCCTTTCAATAAATTGAATTCCTGCAACGAATTTTATTATTCATCAAAGAATTTTAATATTTATAAAAATTGAATTGAATTCTTACGAAAATTTTTACAAACCATTTTTTAAATAATTGAATTCTGTTTGGAAATTTTATGATAATAGTAGATATTGAAAATCATTGAATTGCCAAAAGTTTTTAATGATAATTAAATTTTACAAAGAATTCTATTAAAAAATTTGTCAATAATTGAATGTTTGGAAATTTTATTAAACTTTTTTGAAAATAATTGAATTCTTGTGAACGATTTATTAGAATTTTTTTTAAAATAATGTAATTCCAAGAAGAAAATTATTATTTTTAAAAATAATTGAATTATTGTGATGAATATTCTTATTTATGAAAATAATTGAATTCTGAAAAGAATTTTATTAAAATACCTCAAAATAATTGCATTTTCGGGAGTAATGTTCTTATTTATCGACATAATTGAATTCTTAGAAAAAATATTGTTAAAATTTTTAAAAATAATTGAATTATTTAATTAAAATTGTATTTAAAACAATTAATTTCTTTCGAACAATTTTATTAAATTTTTTAAAATAATTATTCAATCCTTCCAAAAAATATTAAAAAAACATTTTTTTAAATAATAGATTTTTTCGTGGAATTGAAATTAAGTTTTTAAAAATAATTACTGTAAAATTGTATTAAAAATAATTGAAATCCTGCTATGAATTTTATTATTTATGAAAATAATTGAATAGTTGCTAAGAATTTTATTATAATTCTCAAAAATAATTAAATTTCATAGAAGAATTTTATTATTTTTGAAAATAATTGAATTATTGCGGAAAAGTTTATTAAAATGTTTAAAAAGAATTGAATTTCTGTAAAAAAAATTTATTATTTTTTAAAGTAATTGAATTCTTCATAAGAATTTTATGAACATTGTTTTAAGTAATTAATTTTTTCAAAATATAATAAATATTATGAAAATTTTATTAGTTTAAATAATTGAATTCTAGTGGAAAACTTTATTTGTGAAAATAACTGAATTTTTCGATTATTAATTTAAAATAGTATTAAAAATAATTGAAATCATTTGATAAGTTTTATTATTTATGAAAAGAATTAGATTCATGTTTAGAATTTAATCAAAAATTTTTTTAAAAATTGAATTATCATGAAAAATTTTATTATTAGTGAAAATTAATTATTTAATTATCACTTAAATTAAAATTACTTGAAATTGTTTACAATAAACAGTGCAATATAACATTCCCGCGCGCTTGCGCGCGGATAATTTGGCTAGTTTTTAAATAATTAAATTCTTTTGACAAATTTTAATAAAAATTTTAAGAATAATTATTTTGATTCGAATTCGATTAAAATTGTATAAAAAATAATTAAAATTCTGCGATGAGTTTTATTATTTATGAAAATAATTAAAATTTTCCCAAGAATTTTATTAAAATTTTTCTAAAATAATTGAATTTCAGAGAAGAATTTTATTAAATTTCTAAAAATACTTGAAATTTTGACAAGAATTATTTTTTTTTTGAATTTTGAACATAATTGAATTTCTGCGAAGAATTTTATTAACTTTTGAAAATAATTTAATTCTTCAAACGAATTTTATTCAAGTTTATAAAAATAACTAAATTTCTGTGATAAATTTTAGTATTTATAATATTTTTATATAAATAATTGAATTCTTGCAACAAATTTTATCCAAGTTTATAAAAAATAATTGAATTTCGGTGAAGAATTTTATTTATAAAAATAATTGAATTATTGAAAAGAACTTTGTTAAATTCTTTTTTAAATAATTGAATTCTTGCGACGAATTTTATAAAAATCTTTTTAAATAATTGATAATTTTACGAGAATTTTTTTTTTTTTTTTTTAATTTTCGAACATATATGTAATTGAAATTCTGCGAAGAATTTTTATAACTTTTGAATAATAAATGAATATAAAATAAATAATCATAATAAAAAAAGTAATTTTTGTAAATTTCCCCAGGTTTAGATCGATGTTCCATCGATCATTGTTCCATGGTAAGATGTTCGACATCGTCACTGGCCCTCACACCCCCACCTCTGCCATGGGAAGCAAGACACATTTGCAATGAAGAAAAAATGATTACGTGAGGAATGGATGCTGCCACGCAAACTGAATATTCCGATTCCCCGGAACACAGCAGTTAGTATTGCGTGGCAGCAGGATAAAAGTTATAAATATTAAAAAACTTTTTATAGTGAACACATCAAAAAATTTATAAACTATATAGTTCTTATAATATTTGGTCGAGAATACCAAATATAAAAAAAATGTTATTTGCTTAACAAAATGAAAGCAAATCAATATATAGTGAAATAAAAATAATTGCAAGCTTTTCATAATATATTTGATCTTTTAAAATAAATTTTTGTAATTTTGGTAAGATTTATAAAATTTTTCTTTCTTTCCAATTGAAGTAAATATTTTTTTGTTTTTCGACAATTTTAAAGACAAACGCCGAACAAAAACTGCTTAATAAATTTCTACGAGTAGTTTAATAAATTATAAGAGTAGTTTAAGATTCTATTGCTATAAAATTCTTTTATCGGAATTTTTTTCTACTATTAAAAAAATCATTCCAACATCCCTTCAATATACAGTATTATTAATTAAAATTATACAGAAATGCTTGCATTAAAGTAAATTACAATTTAATTATCTAATTTCTAATTTAAAATTGAATTTTGAATTTCTAATTCAGAATTAAAATTATATTTTGAATTTCTAATTCATAATTTAGATTAATTGAATTTATAATTTACAATTAAAATTAAATTTTGAACTTCTAATTCATAATTAAAATTTAATTTTGGATTTCTAATTAAAATTCATAATTCTATCATTTTTAAGCTAATATACAAAAATTTAAGATCTCTTTTTGTAAAAGAGAGCCTTGAAATAAAGAAAAAAGGATTTTATTAATTTTATATAGCTCTAGAATAAAAAACAAATGCAGTTTCGCTAAAAACTGCGTCAATAAGTAAAATATTGTTGAAAAAAGAGAAATGTACAGAAAATATTTAAAATCGTTTTCACTGCCCATCTAATAATTAAAATTTTTGTGCAGAATGAAAGTTGATAAAAATAAAAATATTAAAAATAATATAAAAAAAAATTAAAACGCACAGGGCTTCAATTATCATAATACTAATAAAATAATACGAAATAAGTAATGTCGAAAATCCAAGGGAATAAAAATTTTTTAGTTTCATAAGATTTAATTAAAACAAAAATTTTTATATTATACAAAATTATATTTTATAATCTGTATATAATTAAAAATAGCGAGAATTAAAAATTTGTTCAAAAATATGCTAAAAAAAACTTTTCTTATTTAATAAAAATAGGAAAATCGTCGACTCAACAAAATACTACTTTAAATTATATATATTATAAAAAATAATCTAACAAAGAAATTGAAAAAAAACTATTTCATTGTTAAAAAAAGAAAAATTATAAAAATAAATATTAGACAAATATCTCGATAATGCGCAGCACAAATATAGATAATATAGAGACGCAAATTTGTATATGAAATATAAATTAAAATTTATAGATTCCAAATAATGTCGGTAAAAAGTTTTTTGAGAAAAAAACGTGTAAAAGAAATAAAATATATTAAAATATTAATTATTAATTATTAATTCTGTAAGAATATATAATTAATAAGTATGTAATAAAATTGTAATTTTATCTAAATTGTAAACAAACCAAAAATTCATGTTGTATTCTAAAATAAAAAATTTTATGATCATATGAAAGTTAACAAAGACTTTATGAAAAGAAAATCTCTGTTTCCAAACATTTATTTACATAGAGTGTAATAAATTTAGGACAAAAAAAAGACGTCGCACATAAATTAAAATAAGTCTACGATGGATAATAAATGAAAAAAAGGAACTCTCATACGTTTAAACTTTGTAACACAAAATTGTAAGTTGTTTAAAGAAAATGTAATCATTGATTATTAAAATAATTGATTCGTAAAATTTTACCTTTGTTTTACCTTAGAAAAAAACTATTTTTAAAATTGATCTACAAAGTCATCAAATATTTTTCAAATTATTTATTTCATTTAATTTACTTTTATTTCTTTTCCAATAATTACTATAAAATATTTCTTTTCGTATGATGTTAAAAAATTGAAACAAAAATAAAATTTTACATTTTATTTTTTTTCTATTTTTGCAATAATAGAAAAATAAATTATTTTTTCTTGAATAAATAAATTATTTTTATTATATTAACTGAAAATTAATTAAGAGAATAAAAAATCGGTAAAGTGACGATGAAAAAAAAGAAATAGAGAAGTATTCACAGAGAAGTATTTTTATATATTCTTCAGTTTTACATCGACAACTATTTTTTAGCATTAAAAAAAATCAATGAATCTTCAGTGCTTCTTCATTGATGTTTACAATTATTTTTATTAAAATTGCGGTAGTTTTAATATAAAATAAATGCGTTCGTTTTCACAAAAAGTAGATAAATATTCTTTTAGAAAGCAGATTTTTTTAATCCCTCACTGCGGAAAGAAGATATGAAATTTTTATCTTTAAAATTTAGTATTTTAATTTAATTAAAACTTTAATTCTAGTATTACATTATTTTCAAATTGTAATATAATACAATAAAATGATAATTTTTACAGGGAATTATATTACAAGAAAAATTTTACAGTTAAAAATTTTCCCTGACTTTTTAAATTCGAAGAATAAAAATAGAATTTCGTTTTATCAGCTTATTAAAATTTCTCTATTTAAATAAAAATTATTTATTTGATTTAAATTATTTATTTAATTCAAATAAATAATTTTAATAAAAAATATATTTTTTAAATATTTAAAATATTCATTATTGTGAATATTATTATTCACATTTATTTTTAAAAGTTCCAAAAATTTTAAAAAACGATAAATCTAAAACAATTCGCAGTTTGGGATTTTATCAACGTTTCGCAATTTCGACGGTAAAATGTTTACTTTTACAAATTTTAAAAATTGTTTTCAAACATTTGAAGAAAACGTTAACGAGGTAAATAAAATTTCGAAAAAGTAACATCGGATTAATTAACAAAACCAAGTTAATTTTGTTAATTAACTGAATGTCTTACTTTATGAAAAAAGACAAATTTGTCATAAACTGTATTATATAGTTTTTAGAGATTCTTATATTTTTTTCCCATAAGTTTGTAAAATTTTTCATTAAAAGCTTAAAATTCTAATTGATATTACATTCTCACTTTGAAAAAATTCGCAGACTACTTAATGACTTGAATAATTATAAACTCGATTTTTTCATAATTGCAATTAAATTAATTATTACAATATTTAAATGTATAACGAGTCATTTGTTCATATTCTCATATTTATTATATATAATCTCTCACATTCTAGAAAAAAGTATCATTTTCTTATCTCACTTAAATTATTATAGATACAAATTAGAGAAAGGCTTCCTATAAAAAACTTGTTAACAGAGAAGCTTTCTGTACTTTTTACAAATACCTTAATTTAAATAATTCTAGAAGCTTTAGCGAAAAGAATTCTTTACACTTTTTTTTTTCTTTTAAAAAAAACAATAATTGGTTTTGTCTAATTATAATTTTAAATTATAATTTAATACTTATTTCTTTAACGTTAATGTGTATAAAAAAAGTAATACTTTTAAAATATTTACAGTTAAATTCAGCACCTCTATTTGTTGTAATAATTATTTTCATTTACAGGCGTAATAAAATTATTATAATAAAATTATTAATTTTGTGTCACTGGAATTTGTGTAATGAATTTTTCTAACAAAAGGAAGACAAAAAACTAAAAAAAGACAATAAAAAGAACTAAAAAAGAAACTAAAAAACTGAAAAATATTTTTCTAATAAAAGAAAGACAAAAAAAACACTAAAAAAATACAAAAAGAGCTATGAACTAAAAAATATTTTTCTAAACTGCAGAATTCTTTTTAAAAAATGTACTTATTTTTTCGCTAGAGCTTAGAACCACTAGATATGTATTATAAGTTTATTCTTACATTTCTAATCATTGTTCGTCATTAATATAATTAAAAATGTTTATCTATTTTTTGTTTGTCTGTATTTTAATGGTAGGAAAAAGTTATTTTTCTAAATATTTTAATACTAATTAAATATATCAAGCAATTCGTTCGATCGTGATAAAATCGATAGTTTAAAAAAAAATCTTCTACATTGAAATACGAGACAAAATTGTTGAGACAATTTTTCGAAATAATTTTTCAAGATAATTTTTTGAAATAATTTTTCAAGATAAATTTTTTGAAATAATTTTTCAAGACAATAGTTTCGACAATATTTCCATTAAATGAATCATACATTTAAAGCATGTCAAGTCTTAAAAAATAGATTACACAAAAATTGGAAATGAAATTTACATTATTAATAAGAGTAATACTTTAGTAAAGTAGTTTTCAAGGAATGTTAATTACTCGTTAAATACTGATAGCAATTTTCAAAAGAAAAAAAAATTAACCAGTCATTTTGTAATTTCTCTCTCAAGTTAATACACGTTCGATAACAAATAAACAAAAAAATATCTATACAATGAATAACTTTGTTCGTTATAATATCATTCATAAATCACAATGTTTAATTAAAACTCTTCAATAAAGTTTTCTTTTTCTGTCAACGTGCTTAAGTCTTTGCTTCTTCGCAAAGTGTCATTAATATTATTGTTCAAGTTTATATATTTTCTATTATTAACCAAGACGATCCTGATAATTTCAATGCGATGTTATTAATAATTATTGAACAATAATATTAATAAGCTTTAAAAAATAATTCATTTCGCATGGAGCATTTAGGCTGAAGCTCGCTTGATACGTTTCTTGATGAAAATACAATGTTAATACGTCGATCTACATTTAAAGTTTTCTCTTTCTTTTAAACAATTAACATAAACTATAATTTACATTAGATCATCTGGCGATCAGTAGGAAAATATTGACAATATATACAAATATATTCAGACTGATGATTTTGGAAGATCCGCAATGAAGATCGTCCCTTGGATAAAATGTTGCTGGAGGATGTTCATCCCCTGCTTTGCACCATTCTCCTTGTGCTTTTAATTCCGCCTAAGGAACAAAATTATTATATTTATTTTTTATTTTTAATACATTTTTTATTTTTCATATTTTTATTTTAAATTTTTTATATTTTTCTGTTATTTTATTTTTATATTTGAACAAATATTAAATTCATCTTAAATCTCCCTCAAGTTCTGAACGTTCGAATGAATTAAAATTGTTTTTATTTTTAATTTTCAAAAAATTATTCTACGAGATGAGAAAAATGTAAATTATAAATTTACTTACTTAAGATTACGTGATATTCAATTTCACATTATTATGCAAATTACAAAATTTTTTATTTTCAAATATGAATTTTTGAATAATTTTAGATGCAAACTTTAAACAAATTCAATTATTAATTAATTTACTAAATAATTATTCGCGTTTATTAATTTCAAAAATTTTAATGAAATTCTTCGCAAGAATTCAATTATTTTTAAAAAATAATAACATTCTTCGTAAGAATTCAATTATTTTTATAAATATAGTAACATTTTTTGCAAAAATTCAATTGTTTTTAAACAAAATTTTAAGAACATTTCACGAACAAATATACAATTATTTTCTAAAATTTTAATAAATCCTTCGAAACAATTCAATTATTTTTTAAAATAGTGAAATCTTTGCAAAAATTCAATTATTTTCAAAACAATTTGACGAAGAAATTCAATTTTTTTTCTTAATTCGTTATAAAATATTTCAAAAAAATTCAATTATTTTCTTAAATTTTTATAAATCCTTGAAACAATTCAATTATTTTTATAAAAACTAAAATTCTTTGCAAAAGTTCAATTCTCTTCAAAAAAATTTCACGAAAGTATTCAATTTTTTTCTAAACTTTTAATAAATCCTTTGAAACAATTATTAAATTATTATTTTTAATACAATTTTTATAAAATTTTTCAAAAGAATTTAATTATTTTTTAAAATTTTTAAATTTTAATAAAATTCAATATTAAATGTTTAATTTCAATAATAAACAAAAACGATTATTTTAAGAACTTGAAAGAAATTGTTCATAAAATTCAATTATTATCAAAATTGTTAATTGAAATTATTAAAAGAACTCCATTATTTAAAAAAAAAATTCAAAGAAATTCTTCAAAAAGAATTTAATTGGAATTTTGAAATATTTTAACTATTCTTTACGAGAATTCAATTATTTTCCTAAATAATAAAATTCTTCGAGAAATTCTTCAAAAAGAATTTAATTGGAATTTTGAAATATTTTAACTATTCTTTACGAGAATTCAATTTTTTTCCTAAATAATAAAATTCTTCGAGGGAATTCAATTATTTGCAAATTTTTTTATAAAATTCTTTGCAACAATTCGATGATTGAACAATAATTTTAAAAATGAAAATACGTATTTAAAAAGAAAAATTATTAAAAGTGTTAAGAAACAAAAAAGCAAACAACAACTAACTTTAAACTGCGAACAGATTACCGGAATACAACGATTATTAATATAGATTTTTATATTTGGTTTATATTTTGTATTTTTTATATATTTATTTAATATTTTTCATATTTTTTTATTTTATATTTATATTTATAATTATTTTATCAAATATTATAATATTTATTCAAAATTTCCCTCAAGTTCAAATGAATGAAATTTTTGTTCTTTTTAAATATTTTCAAAAAATTATTCAACGAAGAAATGAAAACTTATGCAAATTAATCATTAACTCATTTAATTAATTATTTTACATTTTTGTATTTATTTAAAATTTTTATCAAATATTATATTTATTTAAAGTTTCTCTCAAGTTTTGAATATTCAAATGAATAAAAAAAATTTTTTTCAAAGATTTTCAAAAAATATTCTACCAAATAAAAAATTATTTAATTTAAACATTTACCTACTCAATAATTATTTTCTTTTAATATACAAAATAATTTTTTTAATAAAATACAAATTAAAAAGGAATAAAAAAAATTATCGTTCATTTGAATCCTAGAAACTTTAGGAAAATTAATTAAAATAAAAACAACTGTTTTATAGATTTTCTTATTCTTCTAGAGTTTTCTTTACCTGGCAAATATCCTTACAAGGTGGACACTTGAGGGCCCCTTTGTGCAGCCATTCATTTTGCATAATTCTGATTGCAATTTCTTGTCCTGCGTGATAGCAAGTGTAGGTATAATTTGCAACCTGAAAAAATATTAATTTGCATTAATTAAAATAATTAAAATATTAATTTAAATAATTTAAATAATTAAAATATTAATTTAAATAGTTTAAATAATGAAAATATTAATTTAAATAGTTTAAATAATTTTTCTTTTTTATCCAATGTTTATGGAATATTATTATTTAAGAGAAAATATGCTCACTATTATGTGAAGTCTTCCAGTTTCACATTTATATTGATAGCAACCAGAACCCCAGTGTTGCCATTCTCTAGCTTGTTTACAAGTTTTTTCCACCCACATTTGATTTGTATGATCGAAACATCTAGAGTGCGTTCCATATTTTTCCAGAGCGAAATTCTTTTCAGGAACTAAAAAAGAAAGAATGCAAAAAAATATTAGCATTTTCAATTCTCTGCACAATTCTTGTTATTCACCGTTGGGTTTCTCGAGAAAAATTTTTTCGAAACGTTCTTTCAAATTGCATGAATAAAATTATAGGAAAAATTTATTAGAATAGATTTATTATTAATTATTTATTATTTATTATTATAGATTTATTACAATCGATTTATTATTAAATTATTATAGATTTATTAATATTTATTATTATAGAGAAATATTATTATTATAGAAAAGCGTATTTTAGTGAATAGTAAATTTTCAAATAAAATACAAATTCTTCTCTAGAAAAGAAGTGTAGTGTAGAAAATTTTTTGAAAAGAAGTTTTCTTTGTGAAAAGAAAAATTCGACTTTTTTTACTCACGTGGATTGTTTTCTTCATATAAACAATGTGAGCCCCTTACGACAATATTCTTGGACCGCCAGGTAAATTCTTGAGTATACGGACAATAATCTGCTAAAGATACCGAACCACCGTAGAACTTTTCCTTTCCCGGAGTAACGTACGGAATTGAATCAAAATTCTAGAACAGAAATATTCTTTCATTACGAAACTGAAGTTACCAACATTTTTGTCGACGCAAAAAAAGGAAACAAAAATTTCTTAAGACCAAAAAGCAAATAATTTTCGATAAAAAGTAGATAATTATTACTTCCATTGTATAATACTTCCATTGTATTTAATAAAAATTCAATTATTTTCAACAATTTCGATCAAAAATTCCTCGAATCAATTCAATTCTTTTTATAAATTGTAAAATTCTTGGCAAGAAATCAAATATTTTCATAAATAATAAAATGTTTCGGAGAAATTCAATTATTTTCAATGTAATTTTAATAAAATTTCTAGGAAAAAATTCAATTATATTCAAGATAATTTTAATAAAATTTCTTTAACAGGTTCAATTATTTTTAAAAATTGGAATAAAATTGTTCTAAACAATTCAATTCTTAACACTATCAATTCAATTCAGTTCTCAAAAGTTTTAATAAAATTCTTGGTAAATTTCAATTATTTTCAAAATTTTTAATTAAAATTACTTTCAAAAATTACATTATTTTTACGAAATTTAATGAAATTCTTAAAAAAATAGAAAATGTAATTATTTACAAAAATACTAATAAAATTGTTTAAAAGAATTTAATTTTCTATAAATAATTTTAATACAATTTAATAGGAAAATCGTTAATTACAATAAATAAGAACCACGATTATTTTAAAAACCTAAAAGAAATTCTTCTTAAAATTCAATTATTTTCAAAGTTTTCAGTAAAACTTATTTTAAGAAAAATTCTTTTATTTCCAAGAAAATTGAAGTAAATTCTTCAAAACAATTCAATTATTTTTTAAAGAATTTTAATAAAATTTTGTGTCAAGAATTAAATTATTTTCAATACTAATTTTAATGACCTTTTTCTCGAAAGAATTCAATTAATGAAAAAAATGTTGATAAAATTCTTGAAATGAATTCAATTATTTTCAAATTTTTTTTATAAATACTTTACAAGATTTTAATGATTTTCAGTACATCGACAATTTAATTATTTCTGAAAATAATTGAATTCTTGAATAGAATTTTATTAAAACTTTTTTAAATAATTGAATCACTGGGAAAAAATTTATTATTTTAACAAATAATTGAATTTTGCAAAATTTTAAAAAGTAAGTGATTTTTTGACAAGGATTTTATTAAAATTTTATTTAAAATAATTGAATTCCTGTGAAAAATTTACTATTTATTATTATATTTGAATTCTTTCGATGAATTTAAAAAACGTGTTTACAAATAATTTAATTCAATTAAAATTGTATTTAAAATAATTTAATTCCAGGGAAAATTTCATTATTTTTAAAAATAATTGAATTTTTTAATTGAATTTTATTAAAAGTTTTTTAAATAATTGAATCCCTGCAAAAAAATTTACTATTTATTAATATAATTGAATTCTTTCGATGAATTTAAAAAACGTGTTTAAAAATAATTGAATTCAATTAAAATTGTATTTAAAATAATTGAATTCCAGTGAAAATTTCATTATTTTTAAAAATAATTGAATTCTTGAATTGAATTTTATTAAAAGTTTTTTTAAATAATTGAACTCTTGTGAAAAATTCAATTATTTTTTAAATTAATTGAATTTTCTCGAAAAATTTTTACAATATTTTAAAAAATAATTGAAATTTTGCGAAGAAATCGATTTAAATTTTAAACATTTAAAAAGAAAAATTATTTAAAAACTTAGGAAACAAAAAAGCAAATAGTAACTAATTTTCGTGACTAAATTGAATAAAGAAAATTAAGACGATGTACCTGATATTTCCTTGGTAGTGGCTGAGGATGTTCTACTAAATTACACAAAGCTACAGAACTACGATCATCAGTACATTCCGTTTGTAGTGGATCTTGCTTCACTTTGTTACAAAATGGATGAATCAGCTTGCCTCTGAAAATTAATTACCAATCAAATTAAACAAATTGAACTCAAATCAAGTGAAAGGAACTTTTTAATTAAAACTAATTAAATTTTATACAAAATTTGCAAAGGGAAATATAAAATTTATATCATTATTTCCTAACAGGAATGAATAAATAGTTTAACTTACTTTTGTTCTCTGTATTTTCAAATATGCAGCATGTTAATAGAAAATTTTATTACTCTCATAATCAACTTTTCAGAAAAATACCACATTCCACAAAAGAAAAAATGTGTTTTTATAAAATTACAATATTCATTTCGAGAAATAATATAAAATATAAAACAGAGAAAATTTATTTTATCAACGAGTTTCAAATTTAAAAATTAAATCAACTTTCAATTAAATTTTATTAAAATTCTTGGAATTTGAAGCATCTCTCTGTTATTAAAAAAACATTTTCAATTTTAATTACCATAAATCTGATCGTAAAAATTTAAAATATAATCTCCTCTATTTTTACTTTATCGAGAGAATTATATTAGTTTCGTCATTAATGCAGTAAAATTTTCACTTTAGATATAATTTAATTTCGATGTCAAGGCATAATATTTCATCGTATATAATAATGCCAAAATTAATAATTAATATTTAATATTCTCTAGAGGATTAATTTTATAGTGAGGCATTAAATTTGTGAAAATACTGACGAGAAACGAGACGATCTTGTTGAAATCCATTCTTTACATGACTTCATGGCAAAATCGCATCCCAAGTTTTTGCCCCAGCCAAGTTCCTGAGCCATCGAATAATTTGCGCTGTACCAGCCAGTATCTTCCATGAGTGCTAGCGTAATCCTCGAGTAAACTGGATTTTGTGTGTGTGTTCCCGTCATTGCTTCGTTCTACGCAGAAAAACAATTTTCGCTTCATTTATTTATTTATTTATTTATTAAATAAATATTACTAAATATTTAGTAAAATATAAGAATAAAAAAAATAATAAAAATATTATTTTCCTCTCGTATTTTTTTTATTTAATTTTATATTTTCTTCTATTTTGTTGTCTTCTTCTTTAATTTCTTTTTTCTTGTGATTTTACTTTATATCAAAATTTTTAAGATCGTTAGTATTTTTTTTTCTTTGAAAAATTTCAATGATGTCAAAATTGTTTATTATTATATTACATGTATTATATTAAAATTCGGGATTTTTATTTTTCTTTGACGAAATTATACCTCAAAAACTCGTTTCTCCCAATGAGTTAATGCGGTTCCCTCCTCGCCTTGATCCTCTAATTCCGCACCCTCCAACATTTTGCAATTGAAGTGTGCACGAACTTCCTCTTGAACACGGGGTGTTACAATCATTTGCATAGGCCTTTCCACAGTAGTGCCACGCACTTGCCAATTTCGTCTGATCACTGTCTTTATTGTATTTTCACTCCATTGATGAGTTTGCAATCTGTAAAAGAATAGAGAAAATAAATAAAAGAAATTCACACAAATACGGGAAATAAATAAACAAAATCCCCACAAATACAGAAAATAAATAAAAGAAAGTCCTACAAATGCAGAAAATGAATAAAATAAATTTCTACAAATGCAGAAAATGAATAAAATAAATTCCCATAAATGCAGAAATTAAATCATTCACGCAAATGTGTCAAATAAATAAAATAAATTCCAACAAAAAACGAAAAATAAATAAAAGAAATTCCCACAAAAACAGGAAATGAATGAATGAAGAAATAAATGCAAAAATTAAATCAGATAAATTCACGCAAATATGGCAAATAAATAAAATAAATTCCAACAAAAAACGAAAAATAAATAAAAGAAATTACCACAAATACAGGAAATGAATGAACAAAATTCCCACAAATACGGAAAATAAATAAAAAAAAATTTCTACAAATACAGAAAATGAATAAAATAAATTCCAATAAATGCAGAAATAAAATCAAATAGATTTCCACAAATAATGAATAAAATAAATTCCCAAAAATACGGAAAATAAATAAAAAAGATTCCTACAAATACAGAAAAAGAATAAAATAAATTCCCACAAATACGAAAAATAAATAAAATAAATTCCTACAAATACGAAAAATAAATAAAATAAAGGCATATAAATGCAGAAAATAAATTAAATAAATGCACAAAAAATGCAGTAAATAAATTAAATAAATGCCTATATAACAGGGTTGCCAAAAAAATTTGATTTTGCTTTTCCTTAATTTTTCCGGCGTTTCAAACAAAATTTTGTCCTTTTCCCTGAGTCTAAAAAATATTCTAATTTACTCTATCAAAAATTTTTAAGAATCTTTAATTAAAATTCTTCTCTAAATCAACTATTTTCAATAACTTTTTAGAAAGTTTTTTAAGAATTCAATTATTATTCAAAGAAAAAAAGAAAATTCACTAAAAATAATACACTTGCTTTCAATTTAGTTTTATGAAATTACGATTATTCGAAAATTTTTCAATTATAAATATATTTTCCAAAAAATTCGAATGAAAATTGTTTAAAAAACGAACATCTTCAAAATTTATATTTAAAATTATTTAAATTACTAATTTTTCTGAAATTTCAATTTTTGAAATCCTTTGAAAGTCAATTATTTATAAAAATTGTAAAAGCAACTATTGTAGAATTCAATTATTTATTATTTTAGGAATTTTTAAACAAAATTATTCATTAAATAATTTGTAAGTAATAATTTTAATTATAGAAATTATAGAAAGTGAATTCAAATTATTTAGAAAAAAAATTCAATTATTTAGAAAATAAAAAAGTTCACCTAAAATAATTCTTTACAATTTAATTTTACAAAATTTCAATTATTCGGATTTTTTTCAAATATAAATTTTAAAAAATTTGAATGAAAATTTTTCAAACACAAACTTCTTAAGAATTTTCAATTAAGATTATTTAAAATTCAAGTTTTCTAAAATTTCAATTTTTTTTTGGAGATTTTTAAGTAAAATTATTCATTAAATACTTTATAAATAATAATTTTATGACAGTTCTTCAAAAATTAAATTATTATTTTAAATAAATTCAATTTTATATTCTCTAAAGTTCAATTATTGTCAGAAAATAAAAAAAATTTATGATTTTTTATATTAAAATTCGTGGTAATTGCAAATTTTATAAGTCAAACGAAAAGAAATTTAAGAAGAATTAAATCTTTATAATATTTTTAAAAATTTCTGAACACCAAAATCTGTAATTTTTTCATGAATATAATATTTTCTCAGTGCATTTGAAAAAATGACCAATTTTTCTTTTTCTGAGTTTCCCTTGAATTTTCCGAATTCCCTGATTTGTGGCAACCCTGAAAAATTATAGAAAATAAATAAAATAAATGCACATAAATACAAAAAATTGACAAAATAAATTACTGTAAATAGAATAAAAGCCGACAAATACAGAAAATAAATAAAATAATTGCCCATAACTATACAGAAAATTGATAGAATATAAATAAAATATTCCGTTTTCAAAAATTTTATTCCCCACAGATATTAAAGAATAAAATTTGAATTTCAAAGATCCGTAATTTTCCGACAATATTATTAGGTACATTCTTTGGAAGTTTGTAAGCGATGCAGTGGAATTTTCCAATTTTAGAGTCAAACACACTGAAGTTGGCATTTTAATAGACGAAAATCGAAATTAAAGTTTAGAAATAAAATCTAAATAAGATAAAAATTAACAATTAGTAAAAATAATTGAATAATTAATAATAATCATTGTAATTTAATAATTTATCCTATATATTAAAAGAAAGAAGGGAAGAAAAAATATTGAACGTACTTTTCATTGAGAGGAGGTTTTCCAGTTTCACTTCTTCGCGGTGTTCTGGGATTACCATTTTCGTCTCGGTAGAAAGCATATAGACTCACTGAAAAGCCCAGGGCGTGTAAAATTTCATGTTTCACTGTGCTCAGTAATGTTTCTAATTCTTGAGGTTTTGTGCCTATACTGCCAGGACACAGATTAGCATGTCCAGCAATGGGTCTGTAACAGAGTTAATAATTATTTAATTTCATTTCATTTCATTTCATTCAATTTTAATATTTTTTTTTTAAGAAAATTATTTCTGAATCGTATAAATTTCTCTATTATTTTTTAATATTTTTTATGTAAGCAAGAAAATTATTTCTGAATCGTATAAATTTCTCTATTTTTTTGTATATTTTTTATGTAAGCAAGAAAATTATTTCTGAATCGTATAACAAAAATCTTAAATTGCAAAGTATATACACTGAAAAAAAAATTTATTTGAATCAAATAATTATTTATTATCAAATAAAAAATTTACTTGAATTAAACAATTTTTATTTTTCAATTTTATTTTCAGAATCGAATAAATTTTATTTGGACCAATAAATTCAGTACTTGAAGAAAATACCATTTAATTGATAAAAGTAAAATTATCATTTGCCAATGAATAAAAAATACAAAAAAGAATTTGATATTATTAGGTATCAAATTTATTTGATAATAATTTTTTTTATTTAAATAAAATTTAGTACAAAATAATTATTATTTTGTATCAAATTAATTTTTTCCAGTGTATAAATTTTTTTTTGAAAAATACAATTTAGATAAAAAATTATACAAACGAAAATTTAATAATAGACCAGTAAATGTTTATTTGTTTTAAGTAAATAATTTTTCTAGCATACAGAAATATTTTTGAAAAATACGATTTGAATACAAATTATTTTACACTAATAAATAAAAATTTATACAAGAAAAATTTGATAATAGACAAGTAAATGTTCATTTGTATTAAATAAATATTTTTCTAGTGTATAAAAATATTTTTAAAAAATACAATTTAAATAATTAAATTCAAATAAAAATTATTTTATACAAAGAAAAAAATTTATACGAAAGAAAATATTTAGGCAAAAAAAATTAATAATAAACAAGTCAATGTTTAATTTATTGTACAAACTAAATTTTTTTCTAGTAATTGAGAAATATTTCTGAAAAATACAATTTAAATAAAAATTATTTTATATAAATAAAACAAAAATTTATATAAAAAAAATATTTATGCAAAAAAAAATTTGATGATGAACAAGTAAATGTTCATTTATATCAAATAATCAAATAAAAAATCAAATAATAAAAAAATAATCAAAATAATGAAAAATTTAATTAAAAATAATTAAATTTAATTTAATTAATTAAATTTAATTTAAAAATTTAATTTAGTACGATTTAAATGAAAATTATTTTATACAAAGAAATAAAAATTTATTACTAAAAAATTTTGAAAACAGACAGGTAAACATTTAGTTGAATCAAATAAATTTTTCCTGTCGGTGTATAAAAATATTTTTTATTTATTTTCTTGTTTATTTATTTATTATTTATTTACCGGTCCAGGGCAGCTTCCTGTTGGCAGTGAGCGGCATAAGCGACTGTCAAACCTTTATTGCAACGTTCGGTTTGCATTGCAGAAACGTAAAATATGAAATCTGCATCATTAATTCCTTCGCCGGCAACACTTCCCTCAACCACTCCACATTTATGTCCAGTGGCGTTGCAAGTTCTACAAACCTGTCAAATAAAATTAATTAATTAATTAATTAATTACTGATTATAATAATAATAATTTTGTTTCTATAAATCTAATGAAAACTATTTGCCCATAAATGCGGGGATTTCTATGTTTAAGTACCTAATATAATTCAAAGGCTCTGACTACTCCTTTGAATTATGTTTCCCTTTATCTGTTTGACTGACATTCCAAACTTTCCGCAGTAATTATAATTAGAATTTAGAACTCAGAGTTTCATGAGCATAAGTCGTATATTATGGTCCGTTATGGAGTTAACAAAATTCTATAATTGTACTTAATAAATAAATAAACATTTATTTTATTCATTATTTTTATTATTATTATTTTTCAAATTATCCCCTAATTATTCAAAAACAAACGAAAATTATTTCCCAATTTTTTCCTAGTTTTAATTTTCCAAATTATTATTATTATTATTATTATTATTATTATTATTATTATTATTATTATTATTATTATTATTGCTTCCTTATTATTTTATAATACTTGTCTATTACTAAATAAATTTTATTTTATTTGTTAACTTTTATTTCAGTTAATTAAATGGAATTTTCTTCAAACACTGAAATTATAGCTTATACAATTTTTATAAAAATTGCATAATTAATAAATAAATATTTTAGGAATAAATTTTGTATTTTAATATTTCAATTTAACAATTTTTCTTATAAATTAATTTTTTAATTTTCTTTTCTTAAAAATTAATTTCATTTTTTTTTTCTATAAAAAAAATATTAAGATTTTAATTATTTAAATGTTAATTGATGTTTTTTTTTTTAACTCCAACATTTCTTTGAATGAACATCCTTGGAGAAAAAAAATTATTAATTGTGTTTTTTTTAGAAATTTATCATAATATTTATTGTTATAATTAAAAAATTACTTACGTCAAGATGTGCGTCAGGTACAACTACTTCACCACACATAGTTACAGATCGACAAGTGTCTATGCAATGTGTATGATGATCCTTAACAAAAACTTGGCTGCTTTCGCATTTCCTGCAGAAAAAAAAAATTTCTTCTTACTTAAAATAATAAGATTTTTTTATAAATTTAATAAGACTTTTTATTAAAAAAAAATATTTACTAAAATTATTACAAATTATTACAGCGCACTTTCTTTCGAACAGAAAAATAATTATTTTATTCAAACAACCGAATATTGTCGCAAATAAATATTTACTTGAACCAAAAATTGTTTACTTAAATTAAATAAATTGAATTTCAATAATTTCTTGCAGATATCATTTAATTGAGTTGAAGAGAAATTATTTTATACAAATAAATATTTATCTGAGGGGAATAAATATTTATTTGCACAAAGTGCTACAAATAAATATTTATTCGATACGCAAATAAAATATTTATTCGATGGACAAATAAATTTGATAGTAGAAAAATATGTTATTATTATTATTATGTATTATTAATAATTTTTAAAAAAATGTGAGAAAACATCCGAGTAGAATTTTCTTTAATAATTCAGTCGAATTAGTGTCTTGAAATGTATCCCTTTTTTAAAAACAGGTTAAGACTGAGTCTCAGGCTTCCCAGGATGAAGTGAAACAAGTGAAGGCTCTAAATAATGGTAAAAGCGTGTCACTGTATGAAGCCGCACTAAGAGTATTATGTGATTCAATTAAGTGCACAGGAGGAAACTTTCTAAAAGTACCCTACACTTGAACCTTATTTAATTCACATTACGAAGCTCGTCATCTGTCTCTTTTTAGTATTTTTTTATAAGCAAAATGATTCTAGTAGGAAAAAAATTACTATTTTTCTTTTTCTTTTATTTTTATTTATTCTTTTCAATTTTTAACCTACTTTCAGTATTTTTTAATAAGCAAAAAGATTCTAGTAGGTAAAAAATTACTATTTTAATTTTTCTACTACTTTTTTGTTTATTTTTATGAATTTTTGTACTATTTTTAATATTTTTTATAAGCAAATAATTCTAGAAGGTAGAAAATTACCATTTTAATTTCTCCACTATGTTTTTCTATTTCTTTGAATTTTTCTACTATTTTTAGTATTTTTATTTTTTTATAAGCAAAATCTACATTAATATAATCGTTGTATTCCGGTAATCTGTTCGCAGTTTGAAATTAATTGTTGTTTGCTTTTTTTGTTTCCTAACTTTTTGAAATATTTTTTCTTTCTAAATGTTTAAAATTTAAAAATTAATCTACTGAAAATCATTGAATTCTTGTAAAATATTTATAAAAAATTTAAACATAATTTAATTCATTTCAAAAATTTTATCAACTTTTTTTTCCACAATTGAATTCTTTCATTAAAAAAATATTTTTAAAATTGAAAATAATTTGTATTGAAAATAATTCAATTCATGGCGAGATTTTTATTAAAATTCTTTAAAATAATTTAATTGTTTTTAAGAATTTATTTCAATGTTCTTGAAAAATAGTCGAATTTTTTTTAATAATTTTAACTGAAAATTTTTAAAGTAATATTGAATTTTATGAACAATTTAATTATTTTCAATAATTATAAATTTATAATAAAATTCTTTGCAAAAAGTAAATTTATAAATAATAAAAATCTTCGTAAAAAATTTAATTATTTTTATATAAATTATAAAATTCTTATTAGAATCCTTTTGAGAAAATGTAATTAAAATTGTATTGAAAATAATTTAATTCTTAGCATTATTTTATATTAAAATTCTTTAAATCAATGAACTTTTTTAAAATAATTTTTACTGAAAATTTTGAAAATAATTCAATTTTATGAAGAATTTCTTTCAAGTTTTTAAAATAATCGTGTTTATTATTAATTGTAGTTAACAATTTTCCTATTAAATTATATTAAAATTTTTCGTTAGACAAATTTTATTTAAATTGTCATGAAAATAATTACATTTTTTTCCTATAAAAATTTTATTAATATTTTATTAAAAATAATTGAATTTCTCAGACGAATTTTGTTATTTGCAAAAATAATTGAATTTTTGCCAAGAATTTTACAAATTTATAAAAATAATATTGAATTGTTTCGCTGAATTTTTTATCAGAATTGTTGAAAATAATTGAATTTTTATTAAAACACTTGAAAATAATTGAATTTAAATAATATCATTAATAATAATTATATTCTTTCGAGAATTTTTATTAAAATTAAATTTTTTATTAAAAATTATTTTTTTTTCATTTTTTATTAATATTATATTGAAAATAATTGAATTCCCCCGAAACATTTCATTATTTACGAAAATAATTGAATTTCTTTGAAGGATTTTATTATTTACAAAAATATTCTAATTCTTGTGAAGAATTTTCTTATTTATAAAAATAATTGAATTGTTTCGAACAATTTTATCTGAATTTTTGAAAATAATTGATTTTTTTGAAAGGATTTTATTAAAAATTTAGAAAATAATGATTTTTTTAAAAGAATTTCATCAAAATTGTTTAAAATAATTGAATTTATATTAAAATTCTTGAAAATAAAATACATTTTTTAGTTTACAAAATAATAATAAATGGAATACTATTTTTTTATCTTTTTCAAATTTTTCTTTCTGTACTATTTTTAGTATTTTTTATTTTAACAAAAATACAATTTTAAAGTAATTAAAAATAATTATAGGTTTATTCTCGTTTTATGTTATTTTTAGTTTTTTGTTTCCGCTACAATACAATATAGAAATACATTTTTTTTCTGTAAAAATAATAATCAACTTTCGATTTTCCTCACGGTTATTATTATTTTCTAACTATACCATTATTTTCAAATAATAAAAAAAAAAAAAAGAAAAGAAAATCAAGTATAAATTTTTCTAGTTTATATTGGGAAATAAGTATATTTTTTTTTATCAACAGCAATAATTTGCTCTAAGAAGTTTATTAAATTTCAAGAAAATGAGAAAACCCTACGAGTTCCTTTCCCCATGGGGCTTTGGCTAAGGAGTATCAAGTTCTTTCTTTCAAGTGAATTTCTTCCGCCTTTTTTCATCCTTTTCGCCCCCGTTTTACTCAAGTAAAAAGTCTTTTTGAAATAGTACAAACAGATATTTATCTTCTCTATCCAATTTATCGCAAAATAACATTTTATATAGCCATCTTTGAAATAAACTGCAGCATTTTTCATATTTTTTCTCATAGAAGAAGCAATATATATATAGACACACACTGACCACTCTAGTTGCAGGTCGTAATGAACACAAATCTTTTAACAAAGAAAGACTTCAAGGAGTTTATTTTATCTCTTATTTTCCTTTCCGCTCTTTTAATTGAATTTTTTTCGTTCAAAATTATCAATCACTAACTAATTTCAAAATATTAATTTTTAATTAACTTAAAATTAATAATTATTGATTGATTCAAAATTATTCATTATTATTTGTCCCAAAATTATTATTTAATTCAAAATTATTATTTAACTTAAAATTATTATTCAACTCAAAATTATTATTTAACTCAAAATAATTAATTATCTTAAAATTGTTACTTAACTCAAAATTATAAATTTTCACAAAATTATTATTTAACTGAAAATTATTAATTATCTCAAACATTATTAATAAACTCAAAATTATTAATTATAAATTTAAAAAATTCTCTAGAATTTTACTGAAATGATTCTACACAAAACCGAGTGAACATTCTATACAATTTTATAGTCTTTTATATTATTTTATTATTATTTAAATAGATTTTTATATTATTTGAAAGATTATATTTAGGATAATATTATTTATTTAGAGAATTTATAAAAATAATATTATAAATTACAATAAAAAAGTTTTAAAATAATTCTCCTTAAGGGCATTTGAACCTTGATGACGTTACACGTTGTGCAAAGCATGTGTGACGTCATCAAGGTTCAAATGCCCTTAATGGATAAAATTAGAGAAAAGATTATATTTAGGATAATATTATTTATTTAGAGAATTTATAAAAATAATATTATAAATTACAATAAAAAAGTTTTAAAATAATTCTCCTTAATGGATAAAATTAGAGAAAATTGCAGCAGGGGAAAAATATTATTTTATTTATATTCTAAATTGTATAAAATATTTTCAATTTAATAATTAATTATTTAATTGTTAAGAGAAATGTCCCATTCAACATGAACGTAATTTCAGGATTATTCGTCGATTCTAAATAAAGTATTTAAACTCTTTGAGTGAATGCATAAAATCAAAGTAGAGATTAAAAAAAAAATTTGTCAAAGTTTTAAAGATTTCCAATAGTTTCAAGTACTTAGCTAAAGGATGCAAAGCTTAGTTTTGTGAATAAGTAAGATTGCAACTTTAAACATTTAATACTGCAAAATTCAACTCTGTGGTGAATAATTTATGTTCTGATTTCAGACTTTCCGGCACCAGGAGTTTTTGCCTCTTTCGTCCACTTACGGAGTGCGAGAAGCACAATTATTATTATTATTATTATTATTTTTCATTTAATTCAAAAAACTTTTTATTAATCTAAAAAATTTATTTTTAGATTAATTTTTATTTTTAATTTTACTTTTCTTTTGCGATAAAGCTTTTAGCTTTGAAATAAGGTAAAAGGTACAAATTATAGGTACATCAAATTATAAACACTCGTAAAATAGAAATTCAGGAAATTAAATAAAACTTTAAACATATATATAAATTCTGTTTTTTTTTTAAAGAAAATACCTAATTGGCAGTATTTCTATCTATCAATTACAATTTTTTAAACAAAATCCAAAGTTTTTTTTGGGAAATAGAAGAAAAAAATTTCTTTTTGATCAGTTTTAAGTTTCTTTTGGTAGAAAAGAAAAAAAATTTCCAGAATTTCTATTTGTTATTCAAGAGTTTTAAGAAAATTACTTTTTTTTAGAAATAAACCAAAAAAAATTTTTTTCTTTGCTTTTTTTGCTAAGTTTTAAGTTTCTTTTGGAAGAAAAGGAAAAAAATTTCTATAATTTCTATTTGTTATTCACGATTTTTAACGAAATTATAATTTTTTTTTAGAAATAAACCAAAAAAAAAAATTACATAATTTCTATTTCTTAATCACAATTTTTGTATAAAATTCTCAGTTATTTCTTTTTGAAAAAAGGGAATAAATTTGTATCATTTATATTTCTCTGTCGCAATGTTTGAACAACACTTACAGTTTTTTTTTTGAAAAAAAAATTGCATAGTTTCTATTTCTTCATCACAATTATTCAACAAAATCTCAAGTATATTCTTTTTAAAAAAGTTAAAAAATTTGCATAATTCCTCTGTTTTAATGACGATTTTTGAACAAAATTCTATTTTCTTTGAATAAATGGAAAAATTTGCATAATTTCTGTTTTATATTCACTACAATTTTTATATATAATTTTCTGTTACTTTTTTTCGGGGAAAAAATTTAAATTATTTCTCGTGATTCGTGACCAAAATACTTTGAAATAGTTTTCAATTACATATTTTACTCAAAATATGTTTTCAATTATTTTACTGGAAGTAGGTTTCAATTACTTTACTCTAAATAGTTTCAAATCCCTTTACTTAAAATAGTTTTCAATTATTCTACTGAAAATAATTTTCAATTCCTTTATTCAAGGTAGTTTTCAATTATTTTTCTTTAAATAGTTATCAATTATTTTACTGAAAATTATTTTTAATTACTTTACTCAAGCTACTTTTTAATTATTTTACTTAAAATAGTTTTTCAATTATTTTACTTAAAATAGTTTTTCAATTATTTTCCTTAAAATAGTTTTTCAATTATTTTACTTAAAATAGTTTTCAATTATTCTACCGAAAATAATTTCCAATTCCTTCACTCAAGGAAGTTTTCAATTATTTTACTTAAAATAATTTTCAATTATTCTACTGAAAATAATTTTCAATTCCTTTACTCAAGATAGTTTTCAATTATTTTATTTAAAATAGTTATCGATTATTTTACTGAAAATTATTTTCAATTACTTTACTCGGGGTAGTTTTCAATTATTCTACTTAAAATAGTTTTTCAATTATTTTAATTAAAATAGTTTTTCAATTATTTTAGTTAAAATAGTTTTCAATTATTCTACCGAAAATAATTTCCAATTCCTTCACTCAAGGAAGTTTTCAATTATTTTAATTAAAATAGTTTTCAAATATTCTACTGAAAATAATTTTCAATTCCTTTACTCAAGATTATTTTACTGAAAATTATTTTCAATTACTTTACTCAAAGTACTGTTCAATTATTTTACTTAAAATAGTTTTCTGATAAGTCATATTTTCCTCATTTTTACTTTTTCCCCATTGTATATTTTTACCGATGTTCGCTTTTTTACAAGTTCCATTCAAATCATGCACTGCATAACATACACATTTATCAGTCGAGTCAAAGGGCAAACTTGCATTTATAAGCTCGCACATGAGAGTATTGTTAAAATATATGAGGCAATCGTTACTAATATATCAAAAACGAATTTCGTGCCCCAGTTAGTAACCTAAAAAGAGTTTGTAAAGTTGTCAAAAAGCTTGTACCGTATCTTCTTTCTTTAATATAAAATGTGTAATGTACCGCATATATTCCTGTACCTTCAGTATTATATATAAAATACTTTGATCTATTCCCCGCTTTATGAAAAAGTTTCCTTTCCAATTTTTCCTAATAAGCATATATTCACGAAAAATACATATTTAAAGAACTAATCCTCCAATAATTACTTCTTATCCTATATGGTAAAAAAAAATATAAAGGAAATTGTCTCCAATATTTAATTTTTCATTTATTAATAATTTAATATTCTATTTTTTAACCAAAAAATTATTTTCGTTTATTTTTATTTTCTACACTAAAAATAATTTCAGTATATTTTTCCTATTTGTTTTTTCATTCTGAAAATTATTTGTGTATATTTTTATTATTTTGCTTTCTATTCCAAAAATGATTCTCGTTTATTTTTATTTTTAATTTTATTATTTTAATTTTCATTCTAAAAATGATTCGCGTATAGTTTTATTGTTCTACTTTCTGTTATAAAAATGATTTTCGTATATTTTTTATTGTTCCATTTTCTATTATAAAAATGATTCTCCTATATTTTTATTATTTTATTTTCTATTCTGAAAAAGAATTTGCGAATATTTTTATTATTTCAATTTCTATTCTAAAGAAGATTTATTTCTCTTTTAAATAATCCGCATAAATATGAACGTGGGATTAAAATATTAAATAATAGACTTAATTAAAAAAATATTTAATATGAAGTATGGAAATATTACACTTTTTAAAACCTATTTAAAAATTAAAATATATATTTATAAGATCGTAACCTACTACTGTTACAATTTATTTCCAATATTATATCTCTCAATTATGAATAATAATTGAATGAATAATTTCCCATCTAGAAAAATATTCATTGCCTTATAAAATTTATATCATCAACCAAAATATTCATTACCTTATAAAATTTTCACGAGACAAATTTTATTATGCGCCACTTCATCTCAGTTTATGTAAAATTCTTATAATCAAAGTTAGTCAAGTAGAAAACGAATCTTGCCCAATATCGTCACTTCTTAAGTTAACTAAGTACCAAATCAAATTTCAAGCACGATAATCTTTAATACTATCTCTCTCTAATAAATATCATCTCAACGCTTTTAAATTTGATATTAAAAATTATTCAAATTTCTAATATTTCTGAAAATTTCTAAAAATTCAAATTTTATGAAAAAATGGTAATTTTTATAATTTTAGAGACATAATAAATTTCATTTAGTTTATATGCAACATTATATTATAAATACAATAGTTTAATACTATTACTAGCAAATAACGATATTTCATTTCTTATTATTATACAAATTATAAAATTTTTTTAATTCAAAAATAAAGTTTTCAAAAAAATTCAAAATAAAAATTTTTAAAATTCATTTATTAAGTACATATTTAATTATTATTGTTTATTTTTCCAAAATATTAATATAATTCTTCGCAAGAATTCAATTAGTTTTATAAATAATAACATTCTTCGGAAGAATTCAATTATTATTTTTAATACAATTTTTTAAACATTTCATAAAAGAGTTCAATTTTTTGAAAATTTTTAAAAAAATTTAACGAAATAATTCAATTATTTTAAAATGTTTTAATAAATCCTTCGAAACGATTCAATTATTTTTTCAAATAGTAAAATAGTTGCAAAAATTCAATTATTTTCAATATAATTTCACGAAAAAATTCAATTTTCTTTCTAAATCGTTATAAAATTTTTCAAAAGAATTTAATTATTTTTAAATACCATTTAAGAAAATTCTTCGAAAGAATTGAATTATTTTTTATAAATGCCAAAATTCATCATGGGAATTCAATAATTTTTTAATTTAATTTTAATAATATTTTTCAAAAAAATTCAATTATTTTCTTCAATTTTAATTTAATAAATCATTCGAAACAATTCAATTTCTTAAAATTTTTAATAAAATCTTTGCAAAAAATTTAATTATTCTCTATATTTTAATACAATTTCTTCAATGAATTAAATTATTTTAGAAAATAGTAATAAAATTCTAAAGAGAATTTAATTATTTTCTAAAAATTTTAATAAAATTCAATATTTAAATTGTTTAATTTACATTATTGAGATATACGATTATTTTAAAAAATGGAAAAAAATTTTTCATAAAATTTAATTTCTTTCAAAATATATATTAAAATATATAAAATATATAAAATCTATATTAAAAAATTTAATTAATTTCAGAAGAATTTTAGTTTTAAATTTTTTTTTAAATCTAAGTTTGTTTATATTTCTAATTAAATTCATTTAAAATTGAAATTTTACAAAATTTTAAATCAAAATCTTTTGAAGTTCATCTACTGATGAAAATTGTAAATGCAATTCTTTTAAAATTGAATTATATAATTGAAATATTTTAGTGAAATTAAACTTCAAGAATAAACACAATAACTTTAGAAAACAACAATTTTCCAGGTTTACGATTAAAATTCCCTGACTTTTTCAGGTTTTCCAGGTTTGGAAAAAATGGGACTAACTCTGATCCCTGTTATTAAAAGGCATTATTATTATTATTGTTTATTTTTTGTTATTAAAAAAAAAAAAAAAAGTTTATTGAAAGTTTTATGGAACATAAACTAAAGTTGAAAATAAACCTTTCACACGTTATGAGAATTTAGTACTACGCCCTGTTTGAAGAATAAGTTGACTCACATTAATTTCAGTTATACGCTCATGTGCTATCTTCACATAGTGTAATCAGTGCAGAAATAAAAAACGAAGATACAAACATTTGCACTAGTATTCGTCCTGTAATGTACACTCGTAAATAACAGTTTCTTGGCTTTCAAACTACTACTGAATTTATAATATGATGATGCACAACCACCTATCAGACAATAAATCAAATAGGAAAACAATGCAAATCAATATCACGACTATTCGTCAAAACGGTTCAATTATGTAATGCAAATTAACTAGACGACTGATTATTACAAAAAATCTTAATATTAACTCATTCATTATTTTTAATGAGTTCATTTAATGAATAAAATTTCAGGAGTTAATATTAATATTCTTTTGTATATTTTTATTTTTTTTGTATATTTTTTGTAATAAAGTGTGTGATTAATTAACAAGAAGTTAACTTAATTATAAATAAGCGGTGTATTAATAATTATTAATTAATTTATAAATAATTATTATAAACGTTACAAACGTTCAAATGAACGATAAAATTTTTGTTATGCGGCCTTTAATTTGTATTTTATCAACAACAAAAAAATTGTTTTGCACAATAAGAAAATTAATTTTTAACTAAGTTAAATATTTCGTTTACATTATTTTCCGTTTCAGTAATTTTTGAAAATAGTCAAACAGAAAATAAATTTTTGTTCATTCAAACGTTAAAATTTTGAGAGTAATTAATAATTATTCATGCATACAATCTAGAAATAACAAAACATTACCTATTCAGTCGAATGGTGTTTCTTGTCGCTCGCACCATAAGAGCTCTCTCCCAAAAATGCACAGCTTCAGGCAGAATTGTATTCTAAAGGCAAATAATTTAATTTATAATCTTATTTCTATCATTTTTTAATATTCTATTATATTACAGATACTTTCACCGGAGAAAATTAATAATATTTTTAATAATTTTTTATTCATTACAAAGCAAAATATGAATAGAATACAAAAAATGTATAATTTAATTAAATTTTTATTAAAAAAAACAACATTTTTTTTTCCTTTAGAGGTTTTATTCATTTTCAATTCAATATTGAAAAAAAGCAAATGGAAAAAAGTAAAAGGTCTGGCAAAAAAATGATTTCAATCATTTTTTCAATTTATATTTCAATATTAATATCTGTAAATTATAAAAGAGAAATAAATTTTTTAAAAAAGAAATTTTTAATTTTACTTCTCCAGAGTAAATTTTATATTTATAACATCCGAAGTAAATTTTAATAGAAATTAGCAAAATATTCTTTCAACTTCAACTTATTAAAATTTATTCTCTAAATAGTAAAAGTAGGTAATTAGTAAAAGAATAGTAAAAGTTTCCTGGAAATTCCAAATTTTTTCATAATCTACTACAATTTCTTTAAATTTTGAATCAAAATTTGTGATGAAACACTATACTTTAGTTTTAATATTCCATGAATTTTACTATATCCGAAGTAAATTTCAGTAAAAGTTAGTAAAAAAATTACTTCCGCCTTGGTAAAAATTTACCCCCGAATATAGTAAAAATTACTATTAAAAATGATTTTTTCCAGAATAACTTTTACTATTTCCGAACAAAATTTCTTTATGAAAATTAGTAAAATTTAAATCAGAAGTAGTAAAATTTACCCTGTAAATAATAATATTTAATAACAAATTGTATTACACTGAAAGAAAATTTAAAAAACTTTTATACAAAAAATAAATGTGCAAAATGTTAAATTTATTGCTATATAAAAATCGTTATTTGTTATTTCCACAGTAAGCTTGATATAACAGCCAAAGTAAATTTTAATAAAAATTAGTAAAAATACTTTAAAACCAAGCAAAAATTATTCTCGAAAAACAAAATTCTTTTTACAAAATAAATAAGAAAGTTTACGGATAATGAGTAAAATTGATGAATTTTAATAATTTCTAAAAGTTATAATTGGTATCCTACGTGAATTCAATTATTTTCTACAATTTTCAACTAAACTTCATTTCTAAATCAATTAATTTAAATAATATTCCGAAAGTCCTTCTAGAATTCAATTATTTAAATACAAAAACTCAATTTTTTATGAAGATAATAGTTTTTTAATTATATGCAATTAAAAAATTTCCAAACAATTGAAATATGGTAAAATCTTTTAAAAATGATTCAATTTTTGAAAAATATGAATAAAAATAATCAAATTTTTAAAGAATTTCATTTATAAATATTTATAATTTTTTAATAAGTCTAAAAAAGTAAATTTTTATAAATTTTTATTCACTTCGTTGGAAGATAATTGAATCAAAAAAATTTGATAAAACAATTCTAAGAATTAGTTTTAAAAAACATTTTAATGAAATTTTTTGAAAATAATTGAATTTCTTAAAAGAATTTTTGTATAATTTAAAAAGACTAATATTAATTTTTTGATGAATTTTAATTAAAAATTTTTAACAAGATTTTTTCTCCAAAGTGTTAAAAATGATTCTAAAATATTATTTTTTGTGCGTATTTGAATTTTCGAAAATATGTAATTGAAAATATTGAAAATATTGAATGTTAAAAAATTGGAAACTAATTTTCCTTTTATTTTCATTTTTAAATTTTACATTTGAAGATTATTCTTTAACATTTTTGATAATTCAATTATTGTCGAAATTTGCAATTAAAATTCTTCAAAAGTTGATTTTCCAAAATTGTAACAAAATACTTGAAAAAAATTAATTATTAAAATTTATTTTCAATTAAATTTTAGAAAATTTCAATTATTAAACAAAATTTTTATTACAGATATAGTTGAAAAATTTAATTATATCTTAAAAAAGTGATTCAAAAATAATTTTCGAAAGAATTGTTCATAGTTATTTTTCGCATTTTAAAAATCGATATAAGTTGCATTTTCTACTAAAAAAAAAATGTAGTATTTTGTTGCAATCAATATTGTGAAGAAAAGTCGAAATAGTAGCAATTTTTGAAAATAAGTCGAAAAAAGTTTTAATTTCCTTAATTTCCCTGACAAACAATTTTTTTCCACTATTTATTTTTAATTTCAAGTTGCCATCTTCTCAAAAATAAAGGTTGATAAGCAATAAAAAAAATTACAAGAACTTAAGAGTAAAATATTTTCTTTTCCAATAAAGAGAAAAAAGTAATTTACTAAAAAAAAAAAAAAAAAAAAAAAAAAAACTGCTTCGTGCATTTGAAATACGTAAATATAAACTACCGGAAGATGCTTCATGAAATTATCCTCTACTTTGCTAAAGAGCAAAGCATGTGCTATGAATAAAATGCTACTTATCGAGATCGTAAATTTGAAAGAGCGCAAGCGAAGCAGTTAACTTGTCCAAAGTGGAAACCTAGTATTCGCGTTCATTCAAGTTCAGCTGCGGCTCTTGATTTATTCACAACAGGAAATATTCAGTTTACACCCTCCAAATAATTGCCATTCTATACTTAAAACTCTAAATGAATCTATTATTGCGCCCTAAATTTTATTACAATTAATTATTCAAAAAAAACGAACACAATCCCACAAATAAAATACAATTCCACTCAATTTGTATAAAAAGCTCTCTTTCAATCTCTTCAGTTATTGTTATTTATAGTATAATTTTATATTCCCCGAATTTTCGAACATTCAGATTACTTCAATTAATTAGCATTTAAAAAAAATTGTTTTTTTTCAGTAAAATATTTATCAAGTATTCAAAATTGAGATTTTTTATTTCAGAATTTTGAAAATAATATTTAAAAAATAATTAGTAATTTATATACTATTTTTAAAAAATTGCTTTTTAATTTAACAGAAAAATAATTGTCAAGTGTTCAATATTGTTTATTTTTCATGTCGGAATTTTGAAAATATTGGAAAAATATTAATTTAAATATTGGAAAAAATATGTTTTTTTTTAAATTCCATAGTTATTTTGCGATGAACAGAAACAATTAATTTAATTGCAAACAATTGAGATAACTATATAAATTCGAAAAGAAGGTCTTTTTAATTAAAAAATCTTTAGAACTTTCATATACAATAGAAATAATACAAAAGAGTAAAAGTTTATAAAAAGAACTTTTTTGCATTGCCAAACATTCTAAAAATACTTTGTTCAAAGAAAAAATGTACACTTTATAAACTGCACGAAATTTAATACAATTTTCTATCGCAAATAAAGTAGGTGTACTTGAAGTAATTTTTATTTCGAAAAAACAAAAACAAAAAAAAAACTTGAAAGAAAATATTTGAACGCGTATATAAAAGTTTGTATTTATAAATAAAGAGAAGTATTTTAGCACAAAAATTAGATATTTAATTAACAAAAATTAAAATTTATGAAAATAAAGATTAATTAAAATTAAAATTAATTAACATTGAAATTAATTAAAAATAAAATTTAATTAACATTAAAATTAATTAAAATTAAAATTAATTTGAACTAAAGAAAATTACTTACATTAATGAGCTCGAATTTTTCATTGTCCAGCCTGTAACAAAAATAAAATTAGAATAATTAATGGTCAGAAAAAATTTTCGTGATATATTTAAACTACTTAATAGTAGTAGTTAAAAGATTAAATTTAAATTATAGAGAGAGAGAGTAAAATAAAAAAAGAAAAATGTAGAAAATTGTACGAGTATAAAGAGTTGTAAATTCTCGCAACATCTGTTGCTTCTTTGCAAAAGACTCTTTGAAGTAATTAGTTAACATTTTAATTGTCAAGCCGCACGCCTCAACAAAGCAAAAAGTATAAATTTGAAAGTAACTTTAAACGCCCCGTGCTATTGGGAAATTAGTCGAAATCTATCATCACTAATTTCGATTTGACCTTTTGCCAAAAGGGTTCTTTTAAATTTACTACTACTACAATTTAGAAATTCTATTTTACAGTGGTAGTAAAATTTTTTACATTTCCTAATTGCATCCATTTTAGAATAATAGATTCTTTATTTATTTGGAAATTTATTTTTTTTTAAATTTATTTACAAAATGTATTTTATAACTGATCTTTTTAAATTTATTTACAAAAATTATTTGACAACTGATCTTTTTAAATTTATTTACAATATTTATTTTACAAATGATCTTGTCAAATTTATTTACAAAATTTATTTTATAAATGCTCTTTTCAAATTTATTTAGAAAATTTATTTTATAAACGATCTTTTTAAATTTATTTACAAAATTTTCTTTTTAAAACGTATTTTTTAAAATTAATTTTTTTACAATTTTTTTGAGACAATAAATTAAATTAAATTATTTTTATAATAATTAAAGATAACCGAGTGATAAAATAATTTACAATTCAATTATTATTTACAAGAATTTTGAACTACTTCTTTAAATCGTTTATTTTTAATAATTTTCGAAAAAGTTCTTTGACAATTTTCAAATTCATTTTGTTTACAATATTCAATTTTACGAAATTTCAATTATTCGTAAATTCTTCAATTAAATAAATATTAGAAAATAAAAACTTAAAATAATATTTAAAAAATTCAATTAAACTTTTTCAAAAAAATTAATTTTAAAATTCAATTATCTTTAAAAATTCACGCTATATTACTTTTAAAATTCAATTATTATCTAAAATTTTAACTGAAATTAATTTTTAAATAAATTTTTATTAGAAAATTCTTCTAGAATTCAATTATTTAATTTAAACACAAATAAAATGCAAATAAATAATTTATTGAAGAATTGAATGTTTCTTGAAATTGAATTCCCATAAAGAATCGTTATCAACAAATTTACAAATAATTGAATTCTCTATCAACAAATTTTAATAAAATTTTTAAGAAAAATTACATTTTTCAAGAAATTTGATTAAAATTGTATTAAAAAAAATTGAAATTCTGCAATGAGTTTTATTATTTGTAAAAATAATTGAATCCCTAAGAAGAATGTTATTACTTTTAAACAACATTTAATCTATGCGAAGAATATTATTACTCTTGAAAATAATTGAATTTTTGCAATAATTTGTAACTTTTACAAAATTGAATTTTTTTTTTCGTGTTTTTAACTAAACATCTTGTATAAATCCATTATTTTTAAAATTTTTTAAAAAAATTCTTTAAGAATTTTCAAATTCATTTGTTTACAATTGAATATTACAAAATTTCAATTATTCGTAAATTCTTTAATTAAATATATGTTAGAAAATAAAAACTTTAAATAATTTCAAAAAAAAATCCGCAATGAAAGTTTCTCAAAAAAAATTAATTCCACAGAATTGTTAGTTAAAAATATGAAAAATTCAAATTTACAAAGATTTTAATCTGAAACCTTTTCAAAATTCAATTATTTCTAAAATTTTACGCTCTAATGCTTTTAATATTCAATTATTATATAAAATTTTAACTGAAATACATTTTTAAATCAATGTTTATAAAATTCTACTAGAATTCAATTATTAAAATACAAAAATAACAATTAATTGAATAATTGCATTAAAATTAAATTCTCATAAAGAATTTTATCTATAAATTTTTAAATAACTGAATTCTTTGGACGAATTTAAAAAAAAATTTTAAGAATTTTTTCGAGGAATTCGATTAAAAAAATTTAAAATTGTATTAAAATTTAAAAATAATTAATATTCTGCAATGAGTTTTATTATTTATGAAAATAAATAAATGATTGCGCAGAAATTAATAAAAAAAATTTCTAAATAATGAAATTTCTGTGGAATTTTTATTATTTTTTGAAAACAATTAAAAGTTTGTGTAGAATTTTATTAAATTTTTTTTTTTTAAATAATTAAATTCTTTTGGAAAATTTTAGTAGAATAGTAGATAGTTATTAAAAATCATTGAATTGAGGAGAATTTTTGAATATAATTGAAATCTTGCCAAAAATTTTATTAAAATTTTTTTGAAAATAATTGAATTTCGAAGAAGATGTTGAAATTATACCTTCATGCAAAATTAAATACAACAAAAGAAATTGACCACAAACGAAGGTCTCGACGAAAACCAAATTTTATTATTTTATTGTTTGTGAGCAGGTATACTGTAATGACCTCGGATTGTCATATTGTTAATTTGTAAATACGAGAACTCTCATCTTTTCTGTTAGTTAAAATTACGACGTTATACAAGTCACACGTATAGTGTATAAATAAAGTGTTCATTAATATTATATTATTCTTTATTAAAAATCATCATTCTCCCATAAAAATAATAAAAGAATTTAATTATTTTTATAAAAATAATTGAATTTTTGAAAATTTTTGAACATAATTGAATTTCTACGAAGAATTTTATTACTTTTGAAAATAATTGAATTTCTGCAAACATTTGTAATTTCTCTAAAATTCTCCAAATTATATCGTACAGTTTACAAATTTTTCATCCTTTTTGAATCAAATTACGGACTTTACGGACCTTTTTTTAAAAAAAAAACGGTCTTTTACGGACTTCAAGCAAAGTTACGTCTTTTTTCGGACCTGGTTCGAGCCTTGCTTAATTTTTTTAGTTAATTAATTAATTAAAATTAATTGAAAATTAAATTACTACAATTTTATTAAAAATTATTTACAGGGTAAATTTGACTACTTCTGACTCTGAGGTAAATTCTTCTAAAGATAAAGAAATTTTTTTTTTTGAATAGTAAATTTATTCTGGAAGTGATAATTTTTAGTAGTAAATTTGACTAAATTATCGAGTACATTTTCCAAGTTCAAAGTAAATGTTTACTAATTTTTACTAAAATTTACTTCAAATATAGTAAAATTCGTATTTTTCTATCTCGCAATACTTGGAATAAATTATTCTTTAAGTAGAAAAGTGTTGTTTAGGTCAGACATGAGTTAATTTCATTCCATGCGACTATTAATCTCACTTTTTCATTAAGAATTATAAATGAATCTCTACATTTAATTTTTAAAATGTAAATTATTCATTCAAGTGAACATTATACACATTTTAGTGAAGCCGCAGTTTGCCTATTATACTACTTGTTTAACGGTAAAAGTTGCCAAGAAAATTTCAAAACTTTTCTAAAGTCGGAGTGTACTATCTTCTGAAGAAGTAATAAATGTTGAAAACCATGAAACTTTGGTCCTTTTCTCCCAGGTTTTTCTTTTTTTTTTTTTTTGGCAGACGTATCAACCGGAAGTTTTGTTGTGAGCGATATCAACAAAACGTCTGCTTTATGGTAAATCAGTTTCGATTCGATAAATATCAATTTAGATAGAAAAATTATAAATACAGTCATCTCTGGATAATTAAACTGTCTGTAAATTGAATTTTTTGGTGATTTGAGGCTAAAAAAGTAGATATTAAAGAAAATACTAAAAAAATACTAAAAAAATTCTAAAAAATACTAAAAAGATACTAAAAATATATACTAAAAAAGACACTAAAGAATACTAAAAAATATTTTGATAAATAAAACCCTCGATAATTTGAATTTCTTCCCTATCCTTTGAGATTCATTTTATCGAGATTCGACTGTACTAAAAATATTCTCTGAATATTTCCATAATTTGAATTTTCTTATGTCCCTCAAAATTTAATTTGTCAAGATATTTGTAATTCAAATAATAATTTCCAACTCTGACAAATTGTATAAATAGATGTAAATTCATTACACACATTATACAGTGAGAATGTCTGACCGAAGTGTGTTCGTACTACTTAAATCGTAATATTTCAACCTCAATTGCAACGAGCTTGACAGACGCGCGTATTATTAATTTCACTTCGAAAGCAATTCCAGTTTTTTTAAATGAATAGAAATATATATATGTATGTGTTACACTTTTGTGTCTAAATCGATTTTTCCTACCGACTTTTGTTCTTCTCTTTTGCAACTACTCTTTTGCTGCCTTCTTTCTTTCTCTTTGTATGCTTGAGAAATAAGAAAGAAAAGAGAGAATGTCTTTAAACTTGAAGGCTTTTACAATTTTAAAGCTTCGTCAGTCGTGAGATATTTGAATTTTATGAAAAATACACTTTCAATTCAATTAAATGAAAATGCAATTTCAATCATTTTTTACAATTTATATTTTAATACCTATTGATGGTTGTAATTTTTAAAAGAGAAATGAATTTTTTACAAAAATAAATTTTTAATTTTAATTTTACTTTTTCAGAGACTAACTCTGATCCCTTCAATAATTATTTCGTTCATAAATTTTATAAATTTTATAAATTTTTCTGTTTAAATCTCATGACAAAAAATGTTTTCGAAAAATGTTTCAAAACAAAATTTCGACTTTAAAAATATTTTTTCTTTAAAACCGTTGAAACCTGCATTTCAACTTTTGAAAATGCGAGTTTAGAAACTTTAAAGTATTTGCAACAAAAGTAGATCGAGATTTTCTTTTGATAAACAAGAGAGTGAAGGAAATTTTCATAATAGAAGTGGAAACACTTCATAAAGTGGAAATTCTGCCACGTAGTGGAACGAAGCTTTTGAATAAGATAATTGAGATTCCCAACATGCACTAAATAGATTTGGTGCTGCCAAGGCAGTTTA